AGCGAAAGAGTGGCAGAAGGAGAACGAAGAGAGTACGACGTGGAGAGGTTTGAGCAAGAAAAGACGAGATATGCAAACGACAGGTGGTTGAAAGAGTGCCAGAAGAACATTGAGTTCGACAGGGACGACCGCAATCAGAGAGTGAAAAGCTGAAAGAGCAGGAGATAAAGTTGAAAGCAACAAGCACGAGAAGCCCCGCAAAAAGAAGGAAGGCCGAAGGAGAGAAGCCCAGTGGACCAAGCAAGCAGAGTTCACGCACTCTGTGCACATTTGGCACTTTAACAAGAAGACGCTGCAGTACCGAGTACACCGAGAAGATAAGAAAGGCTCCCAGGACTATGTAACGCACCCGTGAAAGGACGTGGAACCTGGAATGCTGTGGTGGATGACGGTGGATGTGTGCAAGAAGCACTCGATTTGGTTGTCAAGCGATCAAGAAGTTCAGAAGTGGCAAGAAGAGCAAGACCAGAAGAGACTCGAGAAGTTGCTGAACGAGAGTTGGAGCAGCAGCAGCAGAACCAGCAGTACGGCAAGAAAGGTAAGAGCAAGAAGGCGAACCCTGGAAAAGGCTGGAACTGGGAGCGATCAGCAATGGCAAGAACAAGGATGGTACGACGTGCGCGGCAACTACCACGAGACATGTGCCAGTAGAAGAGAAGAGAAGGAAGCATCGTGAAGGTCAAGCAGTGAGAGCATTGTACATTTTGTACATAGCGAAAGATCACATAAGACGACTTGAAGCTTCAGTACAGCAAGAATTTGTTTCGGATGTCAAGAACTGGTCCATCAAGAATCCCAATACCTGTAGAGAAGTCCAGTAACTGTTTCAACAAGTTTCACCCAGGATAAGAAGGCATAGGAAAGGTTACAAGGCGGCAGAAGAGCCAAGAAGCCTGAGAGCCAAGAAAAGAAACAAGATGCCCGGAAAAAGAAAAGGTCCAGTAGGCTAAGTAAGGAGTGAGAGAATCCCTCCTATGGGCCTGGAGGCAAAGAGCACATAGGCTGTGCCAATAACTAGAAGTAGAGAAGAACAAACATGTCGTTGTACAAAAGTTTCGAGATCACGCAAGACGTAGGATCCAAGAAACAAGGGCAGAGTTACAGCCAGGTAAAAGACCAAAGAATGGAGACGAAAGTCCCTGGAAGTTGAAAGCAACAAGCACGAGAAGCCCCGCAAAAAGAAGGAAGGCCGAAGGAGAGAAGCCCAGTGGACCAAGCAAGCAGAGTTCACGCACTCTGTGCACATTTAGCACTTTAACAAGAAGACGCTGCAGTACCGAGTACACCGAGAAGATAAGAAAGGCTCCCAGGACTATGTAACGCAGCCGTGAAAGGACATGGAACCTGGAATGCTGTGGTGGATGACGGTGGATGTGTGCAAGAAGCACTCGATTTGGTTGTCAAGCGATCAAGAAGTTCAGAAGTGGCAAGAAGAGCAAGACCAGAAGAGACTCGAGAAGTTGCTGAACGAGAGTTGGAGCAGCAGCAGCAGAACCAGCAGTACGGCAAGAAAGGTAAGAGCAAGAAGGCGAACCCTGGAAAAGGCTGGAACTGGGAGCGATCAGCAATGGCAAGAACAAGGATGGTACGACGTGCGCGGCAACTACCACGAGACATGTACCAGTAGAAGAGAAGAGAAGGAAGCATCGTGAAGGTCAAGCAGTGAGAGCATTGTACATTTTGTACATAGCGAAAGATCACATAAGACGACTTGAAGCTTCAGTACAGCAAGAATTCGTTTCGGATGTCAAGAACTGGTCCATCAAGAATCCCAATACCTGTAGAGAAGTCCAGTAACTGTTTCAACAAGTTTCACCCAGGATAAGAAGGCATAGGAAAGGTTACAAGGCGGCAGAAGAGCCAAGAAGCCTGAGAGCCAAGAAAAGAAACAAGATGCCCGGAAAAAGAAAAGGTCCAGTAGGCTAAGTAAGGAGTGAGAGAATCCCTCCTATGGGCCTGGAGGCAAAGAGCACATAGGCTGTGCCAATAACTAGAAGTAGAGAAGAACAAACATGTCGTTGTACAACAGTTTCGAGATCACGCAAGACGTAGGATCCAAGAAACAAGGGCAGAGTTACAGCCAGGTAAAAGACCAAAGAATGGAGACGAAAGTCCCTGGCAGTTTCAAGTACTCTACAGAAACCCCTTTCGACTTTTCGAGCTTGAAGAACACGAAACTCGCATGAACTTTTGAACTTTCTGAGGCTGGGTGTTCGATTGTCACATAGTGCTTGAGTATCCCAAGTAGAAGCATTAACAGCCCAAGTAGGACAGTCACAGAACAGCATGAAATCATGCATGTTTGTCCGACAGGCTTAAGCACCGCCCCCAGTGCGAGAGCAGGAAAAGTTAGTCCTTGAGTGCTTTGTTTAGTAGAGTGGGAAGATGGCTTAGAAGCCATGATTTTCAACAAAGAACACCGTACCGCGCCCGGACTCTGGTGGTTTGCCTTCGGCGTCAGGGAGGCGACCTGGTTGAAACCTCTCTTGGATCAAATGGGCCAAAAGAAACGGATCGCAGCTTTGGCGCTGCCGGGCTCCATCTTGCTCTTTCTTCTGGCTTCCAGCGTGCGGCGTTCGTCTATCAGCATTGTGATGCCCCTCTGCGCAGACAAAGAGGGGAATACCTTCTCGGCATCCAAACGTTTTGCCAAAAAGTGGCCGTGCTCGGCGTTGCTCATGCTGGCGGCGCAAGAAAACAAGATGAAAACTAGAGGTATGCGGAAAAAACCGGCCCACTAACGCCTGGCAAAAAATACATTCAGGAAAAAGTGATCAAGCACCAGAGGCAAGTACATTCCTGTCAGGCCTACAGTGGCCTACAGCCAACTGTGCAACCTCAGAAGCTGGTAACAACAGCCAGCCCGGTTCAAAAGAGGACGTGACGTCGAATCATCTGGCGCGATCGAAGCCATGGAAGTCCAGGTGAGTGAGCTGGTCCGCCCAAGTGTTGGCGCAGCGCTTGACATGTTCAATCTTTGCGTAGCAAGCCCGGCTGGTTTCTGCGCGGGATATGGGGTATTTTCTCGGGTCATTCCCGGGATGCTTACGCGTCCTCTCTCTGACCCTTATGTGTGAGTGGCGTTATGCCGGTCAAGCCCTTTCGAGGAGCCTCACCGGCAGCTCCAATTGCGAAATTTGGGTTCGAGAAATCTGCCACCTGCTTTGGACTGTCTCGCCGGGACAAAAAGAAGGGTTTCTTAGGCTGCAGACCGCATTGTGACTTCCTGTACACCCCATTTGTCGTTGGACTGACCCCCATTCCAACATGTAATTTTGCCTTGTCACTAAAGAAGCTTCGATAACCATGAAGATTGTACTGAATGTTTCTCCTCAAGCACCAATTTCGATGGTACCGTTACTGTTGTTCAACTGGGTTTGAATCGGGATCCTTTTGAGTTTCGCACATGTTGAATCAGATCACAAGTCTGAACAATCTTCCGTTGTCCGGCAGGCTGGCAGTCAATGCGCAAAAGCAAACTGTTCATGAGTTCTGCTTTGCGTGGATGTGCTCTCGCCTGTCCTCCGTCAGAACTTGGCATATGTTGAGTGAATTCAATCACCCAGATCCAAATTCACAGAAATCTTTTAAAGTCAATCTCTTGGATCCTAAAGCGCTTGGCTGCAATTGAAAACCGATTGAATTCAATCGAGAAACGATTCATTTGAAGCGTCCGGGATCCAAGATTCAGGATTCCAAGATGTTTCGGGAAAAGCCCTGGAAAATCTTGGGTCTTGGATCCCAGCAGTTTTCAATTGAAACGACCAAGGTTTCAATTGAAACGGCCGGCGTCCAAGATCCAAGATATCACACTGACTTTTAAAGTGCATTTGGGATTCCGAAAACGATTGAATAAACTGCCGGGATCCAAGACTCATGATTCCAAAATGTTTCGGCAAGAGCCCTGGAAGAAAACCCGTGGATCTTGGATCCCGGCAGGTTCAACTGAAACGGAAAATGTTTCAATCCAATCGAAACTCGGTTCGACCCAACCGAAAAAAACAAGTGGATGCCACATACTTATACAAGCAGATGCCGTGTACATGTGTATGTAGTGAGTTCAAGATGAATTGAAAGGTCGGTCTTGGAGTGTGCCATAGAGAGAGATATATAGTAATTATTTCACTGTTTTTGTTTGGGTTCTGGCATTACCCTTGAGGGTTCAACAGTGCGTCGTTCGAGTCCAAATGCTTCAGGTAGAAAACCCGGAAACCTCGCCCTTCAGGCATGAAGTTCTTAAAAAACAAACCCATAAGCCTCAAGTAAACAGCTCTCAAACTTGAACCTTCGACCTTGAACCGTACACACCCCCGGAAACCAAAACCAAAAGCGTGAACCCGTTGACCTTGAAGATGAGACAGCCCAAGCTATCAAAAACACACGCCACGCAAACCTTGTCTGGTCTGAGCATGCATATTGGCTACAAATGCCAGCGTGTCTTACAAATAAACATTGTCAATCATGCCGCACACACAACGCGAAACATCGACATCTGACAGTGCTGTTATTTACGATGAGAATCGACCACCCGACATCGTCCCGATCGAAAACACGGTGCTTTCGGACACACACTCACAAGCAACCTCGCGCAAAAGCAGCGAATAAAAGCCGAGGTTTTGACAACCCCAAAATCGTATCGCATGTTGGTTCTCGCTTGCACCAGGGTGTTGCGTGTTTGTGTGTGTGTGTGTCCAGCCATGATGTTTGCAATGTGTATGGTTCAAAAGAATGGCGGCCACATGGACGGAATTTGGTGGGTAAGTTGCTGAGGCCGCCGGGAACATGATGGACAGATTTTTAACTGCGTGGTGCATTGACATTCAAGAACCTCGATGCTCCAAAGCGCTGGAATGCGCAATGGGCAAACATGGCTTTCGTGTTGTTTCCACGCAGGTCTTGTACCGTGCAGCTGCAACCACATGGCCGGTAGCCAAGGGCCAGAACTTTGTGTTGCATGCTTTAGTGAGTCATATCCCCGACGCAGAAAAATGACCCTGGAAATGAAACATGCGGGCAAGCTAGTTTCACAACTTGAGGTCCACAGCAGTTCTGTTCTACGGGTTCTGTGCTGAGATTTGATCGTGCTTAGGTTATTCACGTGATAGTTTGTTTTGTGATCCAGGCAGGATTGTCATGTCCAGTTCAAGCCGAGCATTCATTGCGCAGGTCCGAATCGAGCCTGGCATTCCCAAGTTGCTCGTGAAGATTAATCCGACAGATGCTGAATCTTTCCATGCCCGGGTCGCAGTTTTGCAAGGCTTTAGAGATGGTTTCTGTGAGTGCTGAAGCATGACAAGCCCGTTTCTGCACGAGACCTTGGCGATGTGCATGCGTCCGTTTTTGTCAATCAAAGGCCAAGAACCTTGGAGAGGTGATTCTCCGCAAAGGCGTCACAAGCCGTAGCCAGGCCAGGGTCAGCATGTTACACGTGCCTTCCGCCGAATCCAAGACCTTAAAGAATAGGGGTCCTGGCGTCAGTGGGGAGCCGCTTTTGTGCTTTCTTGCAGGTGGCAGTGCTTCACATGAGCCGGGGAACTGCAACCGGAGAGGCACCAGCTTCAAAGAGCAAGAGAGCGGATGTAGAGCGAACTGTGGAATTGCAAGATCTGCTGGGGGTGAAATGACTTTCCGGCATTACGCCGGCATCCAAACAAGGATGCTGTTACAGTATGTAAGACGAGTGCTGATGCGGAACATGCATCAGGACCATCATTCAAAGCGTGTTTGTCGTCGCATCCGTCTCTCTCGTCGTTTTTGCAGGTGCTAATGTCGGTGAAGCTTGCAGATCTCCTCGATTTAGAGGCCGGTGTTGTTTGTCATCGCTGTCAGGTTGTTCATGTGTTGTTCAGAGTTAGAATCGTCGCCTTCCCGGGATGGTCGATGTGAGCTTTCCTTGCTCGCAGGATGGACAGGGTGTGGAAGTGGTCCTGTCCTTGGTTCACATCTTTGATAAGTCATGACACGCCATTTGTCACATTCTCAATGTGTTTTGGCTTGATTCTTAGCGGCCGCTTGGGTTGCATTCGGTTGCAGAAGGCTGCAGCAGCTGTTCCCACAGCTGACGCCTCGAATGCTTCGTGCAAGAAGGCCGCGCCACACCCCTGCAGCACCTTCAGGCCCCTACCTCCGGGAATGCGGCATGCGGGCGTGTCCCGACCGCAGCTGCCAGCGTATCGCGGCAGGCTGGGAGAGGCGGCAGAGGTTGAATCTGTACACGAGTCGTGTAGTGCAGGAGCGTTGGGATCGAGCGCAGCACCCTGGTTCTGGGCCAGCGCCATGGAATCTTGATGGAGAGGTCACTGTACTAGGTTTCGGTCCAAGCCATGAGGTTTGGCAACTTGGACGCGTTCGGACGGGGTGGAAATGATGATGGAGGACACGTTTGCAAGCGAGACCTGGTGCAACGAACCTAATTAAGATTCTTGTTCGCTAGCCAGGAGCTTTCGAGAAACGCCAAAGTCCCCACACTGCATCGCTTTTTGACAGCCGATCGCAGGACTGCTTCATGTGTTCCCACGTCAATTTGCATCCTCGGTTAGCCTGAAAAGCAACAGCCGGGACTGTCACTGTGAGGACAACGGGCGAAACAATGCATCTCGCTATGCCACGGCCTGAGCTTTGCCAGGTTTCACAGCTATAGAGCATGAAACAGCTGATGCAGTTGGAGCGAGCGCTTCTTTTTGGTTGCCTGCTTCTCCGGAGGTGCACTCCGCACGCGGCGTCCGTGAGCGAAATAGCTTGCCGCAGCTGCGACGCAAGTTGTACGTTATTGTACGTGTCCGCATGGGATACAGCAAGGGAATTCAAGGGGAACAATCACTTCTTTTCTGATAGCCTCGTATTCGCAGCAAAGGACCCGGGTAAATGTGAATCCACTTCGCGCAGAGAACCCCAAGGCGGCTTTGTTTTGTTTATTGCCCCCCTGAGCTTGTGGGCTCGGAGTTGGGATGTTTTCTTTTTCGGGGATGTGCCAAGGAAGATCATCCAAATTGCTGGAGCGGTGTTGCTGTGCGTTGACAGGATGATGGATACATTCGGACAAGCTTGGACCGGCGCCCAGGCCAGAATGAATCATGGGTCATGAGCAGACCGATCTAGGAGCACAGCCTCTTATTTGCAGGCTTCACGCACCCGGAGGTTCCGGGGCCACAGGACCTCATTGGATCGGGTTCAAACTCTTGACCTTGAAGTATCAGACGGCAATCAAGCCTGCAGCCTAAACCATCTAAACCCCAAACCCCAAACCCCAAACCCCAAACCCTAAACCCTAAACCCTAAACCCTAAACCCTAAACCCTAAACCCTAAACCCTAAACCCTAAGCCAAACAGGTCTTCCTTGGGTCTTGACATTAGTTGCGTTTACAGTGGCTCGGCATGCATGTGCTAGTTCAGGATCTGCCGGATGGGGAAGATGTGCAGCGCTTGGTGGTCATCTTTGTTTAGTGAGATGTGGTTTCCACGACAATTCGAGCCTTCCCATTGTCGAAGGCCCCAGGCAGGATCAATGCCACTGCGCGAGGACGCCCGGCAGCGGTACGGCAGGCGATGTGACATACCCCGTGCTGCACCCGTGTGAGTGTGATGGGCCATGACATGCCACGACGGCCTCACGATGGCCAGGGCGAGTCGTTCCGTGGAGCACCTGTGCAACGAACCTCCGGGCCTTCTGCTCAATGGCAGGGCCAGGGCGTGCTTTGTGAAATGAGCTTCCGATCAGGTTTGGTTTCTTGGAATGCTTTGGGCGTGGAGCGGAATCCGTGGACCATGGAGGCATCACACGTCGCATGGAATCATTGCAAACGCTGTGCGTCGACAGCCGCGGCCCAACCTGAGGGTTCCCAAACCAGAGGAAACTCGAGGTCTTGGGGTCATTAAGGAATTTAAGGACCTAGGGATGAGCACGTCCGCGTTTGGGATGTTGAGGCTCGTAAAACCTTAGAAGGGGGTCCAAATTGCAGAACGGTCCGAGAAGGGTCCTACAAAGCTTGCAGCTCATCGCCTCCCAGGATTAGAGGGCGGGGCGTCATTCGCACTGGTCGACACCCCTCCCTATGAATGTGTTTGGCAACGAATGGCTTTCGCTTCCAGCGTCCGAGACGGGGCTGTAAGATTTTCGGAGTGTAGAATGCCTTTAGTGGGATGCAAGAGGTGAGTCCAGGCGTAGGGGCATCTTTTGGGGTGGCGCTCGTCTGATATGTAGCAGCTGCGAGCGCACGGCACCTGGGCGGACTAGCACATGAGCACACGTGAGCATACCTGTACACAGTGGTGGTTTCTGTGCCGTGAAGCTAATCAGCTAAATGTGCCCTGGCCTCAGGACCCTCTGAGAAACATCAGACTTTCCAATCTTCTTCAGTTTTCGACAGCCGTCCTTCACAGGACCGGGTTCATGATCTCATGGGTCAGGTTGCTCATCCTTGATGCCTTTGAGGCAGTTCAAGACTCCTACATATGGGGCGCCATGTTGTGGTAGAAGTAAGTACTGTGCTTAATGTAGAAAATATTACTTACAACTATCGCTCGGAGGAGGCTGGCCGCAGCAACAGCATGCGGTATGCTCGGACCTTGGATACGTATCACTGGCGAGGACACAAATGGCACATGTGCAGTGACGAGGTACACTCCTCTTTGGGCATGCGCGAGCGAAACAGCTTGCCGAATCTCGGCTGGCATATGTGTTCGACGCCAGCCTCGCAAATTTCCTCTTATGCTTCTCTTTCCTCCATATGGTTTGAGAATGGGTCGTCACCGCTAAGTCGGAAATTCAGCGGGTACTACGTTGTCTATGGGGTGCTGCAAGTTTGTCATGCGTCGAATCTGAAGCAGAAGCCAAATGAACGCTTCCAGTACTCATCTGAGGGAAGTTTTTGGACGGAACCATACCGTACACCTTCCCACCTTAGCGACTCACAACAGCATCGGGCCGCAGACTGATCAGAGAGTTTTGGGCGTGCAGAGCATTCTGCTGCAGTATCACGTTCCCGTGCGGGCTTGCCATTCTTTTTGTTTCTGAGAGAACAACAAAGCACAAAGCGGCAAACCTTCAAGACCACACAAGTCTTTAAAGCCTCAACCAGTTCCTGTTGAAAGAGTGTACAATCGTAAAACCTCAACTGCCCGAACTTGAACCCAGTCTGACACGTTGGGGCTTGCGGGTGCTCCGGCGCCTTGAGAGCAGTGTAGGCATGGTGCAGCCCCTAAACCTGCAACAAAAACATCTGCGTGGCACCGTGGCTTCCCGGCGAGATCCGCGTCGTGCGGGATGCAGCTGCTCTTTGTTTGCCTCAGCACTCCGGTTTGGGAATAGACATTCGGGCGTATGCTGCGGCAGGTTTTATGAGGCGTTGTTTTTCGATGAATCCCCTGGTTTGCCAAATCCTAAAGACCTTCGGAGCCTTGGAGCATGGCATCGAATACCAACAATCAGGAGCCGAGCGCCAACGGCGCTGGGAGCTGCTGAGAAGGTGCAGGACAGTGTTTGCCAACCACATTCTGGGGCTTGCGATGAGTCTGTTATAGGGTTCTTAAGGGAGGGGGTTCAGGGGAGGTAGCTTTGGGAGCCTTAAGGAGTAGTAGGGAGTAGTAGGGAGTATAAATACCCCTTCAAACCCCCTCCCTTAAGAACCCTATGAATCAGGCACGGGTAAAAGAATATTCGGGATGACATGAATGTGTCTATGTCTGCGTGTGTGCGTGTGTGTCTGTGCGCTGCTGAACAAGCGGAGGACAGACATGTCCAGCATGCTCAGCATGGGCATGATCCTTGCCCAGGCCGCATGCCAAGCTTTCCTTTGAGCAGTTGGAACTTAGGACTTAGGACGTTCGGCCTGCATCTGGAGAAACTCAAAATGTGTTCAGACCAAGATGCCAGCATCTAGAACAAGTGCGTGGCAAAAAACAACCCGGCCCCGTGTGTCAGTTCTACAAGCTTTAAGGAGCTGCACGAGCCAGGTGCACAAAACTTAATGTGATATGCAGACTGAGACTCAGTGAACTACTTCTTTCCTTTTCTCTCACCTTTGAAACAGCTCCTGGCAGCTTCACTTCTGAAGTGGAGATCGAGCACAGGCTTTGCAATGTGATGCTCAGTCCCTGTCTTTGTTTCGAGCCGAGCAGGGCTTGTCGAAAGAAAATGGGCGACAGGGTGAGCAATCTGCAAAGGCGTTGGCAGAGTTGGCAGGTTGGTAGAATCGAGGACAGGCGCATGAAAGCAAGTCAGCAAGCTGAGCAAACACTCAGTTGAAGCAGTTTGTGCCGGTGCGGCTTTCCGTCGATTCGCAAAAGTTCGGCTTCGGATTCCACAAACATCGAAATTTTGCCAGAGGGAGAAGGCACAGGCCGCGAGGACGCTAACTCACACCGAGCATCATGTTGGCACTGTCGAAAGCTCGTCGGGCCCGCGTTGACGGATGCTTTAAATCAGACACTCAGTCACTGAGGCACTCAGGGCATTCAGGCACTCACAAGGGTATTCAGTAACTGATTAAGGCTTTCAATGACTGAGGAGACTGGGTCCAGCACCGAAAATGAAGTCTGAGCGTCTGAGTGACTGAGTCGGCTCTGAACGGCTGAGTAATTGGACTGGTCTGGTTTAGGCGACTGCATGACTGAGGGACTGGTTTCAAATACAGGCCGCTATGAGCGCTCTCCTCAATTGCTTGGTTGGGGTCGATTGAGAGAGCGTGCCCAGCGGCCCGTATTTGAAAACAGACGCGCTCAGTCTCAGTCGCTTAAACCGGTCTTAGTCGCTCAGGCACTCATCTGCTGAGAGCAGACCCAATCACTCGGACGCTCAGACTTTTATTTTCGGAGGCTGGACGAAGTCTCTCATCAGTCATTGAAAATCTTACAGTAGCTTTCAAAGGCCAGACCCTGTGACAGTCTGAGTGTCTCAGCGTCTGTGTCCGCGTGCCTGAGTGGCTGAGTGACTGGTTTCAAATGCGGGCCGCTATGCACCCCCGCTCAAAGAAAGTACCGCGTAAAATCAGCAGTGCAATTCTGCTAAGCTGCCAAGACTTTGAAAGGATAAGTCAGGACATGACCTGGACGAAGCATTGTCTGCATCTGGGACATAGGACCGTTGTCCGTGACAGTTGTGTACTCAGCATCAAACCCTCAACGAGAGGTTCACGGTGTGTGGCTTTTGCTATCCAGAGCCAAGCCATAGCAAGCCATTTGTCCCGTGCACACCTGTATATTGAGCGCTGGAACCAACTCTGCAGCTTCGGGATGCGCAGCTCAGGCTTCCAACGCTTCTCGGCGAAGGCTCTGAAAGAGTTTTCATGCGTTTTTCCTTTAGTAGCCAAAGACCCCGGCACAGGATGTAGATGGTGCGGAGGTGGGCTGCAACTGCTCTGCTTCCGAGGGTTCCGCTTGAATAAGATGCTCCCTGTTGTTGCATGGAGCAAAGCTTGAAAGGTTGTGTTCGTGTAGGTCAAGCAGTTTGGGAGTGGGAGAGGAGCTTGGAATTCCCGTCTCGATTTGTATGAACATGCTAGTAAGGACTGGTCAATAGATTGCGGCGTCACGAAATTCATCGCCAAAGGGGCGTGTTCATATCTTACAGCTCTTAACGGCTCTTCGAGTTCGTTGGCATCTGACTTTGGGAGTGCTGCTGGCGCAACGTCTGAGCTCTGGCTGTTATGTCTGTTTCAATGCATGGCAATAGTATGGCAATGCTGGCGGGGCGCGGCTTTCAAGTGAAGTATGCCGGTGTCGCATGTATAGTCATCGCGCAGGTTTCGTGCAGGCTCCGGTCTGAATGCTTGAGTGGCAGAGGTGCCAACTGCGGCCAACGTTGCCGCGGCGCGGGGACGAACGACGGCTTCCACCGTCCCGACTTCAGCGGCACAGCGGCAGGCACGCGCGGAGATCTCTTGCAAGAGTCGTATCTCCTGTTCTTGGGCTCTCTGCAGGAGTGGTGCCGAGGGGGTGCACAGCGGCCAAGCACCGGGCGGGCAGCTCTGCAAGTCTCCGGTCTTCCGTGCCCATAGCTGCCATAGCCCCGCCAAGACACAGCGCCTTCCTGTCAAGGTTTGGATTTCTGGACTGTCTCGGTCGAAATGGAATAGACCACACAGGCTCGGGCGGCACTTATCCACGTACACACAGGCATCGCAAGCACATGCAAGCACTGTCGCAGCTTCTGGAGAACGTATGCAGGGCCAGAGAAGCAGACCAACAGCACGGCTTCTTGTTTCGAGAAACGGCGCTCGTTTGAGCGGAGAACTGAGGAGGCGTGGGCGCCCAGAGGTGTTGTTCGGTGCTGTTCACTGTGCCGCCAAAGCTGCTTTCGACCAGCTGCAGGAATTCAGTCGAAACAGCAGTATGCCAAATGCCGGGATCCTAAAAGGTGGCAATGCGGAGCATCACTATGGCTTGCCACGTCTATGCATCCAGTTGAGCATTTCTGCCCTTTTCCTGAAGGGTTCTTCTCCACGATGTCCGCAGAATCATGTCTAGAGCCGAAGCCCACGAGCCATTGCCCGAGAGGGATGGACTTTAGACCTCAGGTGCATTCGGTGCATTCGGTGCTGGGCATGCCTGAACGAGATAGCCTGCCGAATCTCGGATGCACGTGTGTGAGTCTACATCCCACATGCTGCGCAGCTTCATTCAATTGCCTTCCTGACTGCGAAATTCTGGTCTTTCCCCAAATAGGGACCGCCGTATGTTCCCCCGACAAGGATCATCTTCTTTCTAGGAACTCCCAAAAAGGGATGGTGGGCACTACCCCTAATTTTGGGAAAACCGGCATATCAATGGCCGCCTTGACGTGCGTTTTCACCCTAACATGCCCACGCATGGAGATTTGAGGAGTCGCCCGGCACCAGACGAGGCTTCCGGCTTAGCAGGCTTTGAGGTCGCACGGAACTTGATCTTGTTGTGTGCATTCGTATTCAAAATTATGTTAATATGAACAGTACTATTGGTATGGGTACCAATAAATACACTAGAATTGATGCCACCGTGCCAATCGCGCATTCACTGGATGTGGCAGGAAAGAAGCTGTAGCCGGAATGCATGGGACCCTCACTTTAGCCTGGACCTCAGGGCACATGGTCGTTGTTCAGTTTGCAGGTCCCCACACCAGCCACTTGGCATTCGGTAGGTACCCTTCTTAGTCAGGATTCCCCTTGCAGGGGACTCCTATTTCATGGGTATCTTCGTGTTCAGTTCTCAATAGTTCTCAAATTTCTCAACTGCAGGCTTAGGATCTCTGTTTTTCGTTTAGGATTCAAGCAGGTCGCTAGCTTGCCTGCCGCCCCGTCCATGCTATGACCTGCTAGGATGGCTAGCAAGTCAGCCGAACTGCTTGGTTTGCGTACGCAGCCTGCACACCGGGTCAAGGGCTGGCGGGACACACGTTTGAGTGCACTGTAGAGGGACAAGTTAGAGATGAACGTTATATCAGAGCCTCAATTTCTGCAGCGCTTTTTATGAGCAGATTCTTTGAGTGGGTTGTGCTGCCCACTTAAGGTTTTTGCATGTGGAAGCGTGCAAGGGTCGTGAATGTCGGCCTTGAAGTTCTTGCTTCAGGCTTTCCGAGCTACTCCGAGGCCGGAGCAGAATCCCAGGTTTCTTGAGATGTGTACTTTTGGGGATCACTTTTTTGAGTCCTTTTTTTTGGTGTCTGGCTTGCATGTCTTCACGCATGGCAGGATTGCTTCAATACCAAGGGCTGCAAAGCAGCAGGGGCCTGAACTTGAAAGCACCGGTTGCGACTTAACGTGTGCAGATAGCTGCTACATGTTCTTGCAAGTATGAAGCGTATCTGTTTGTCATCAGGCTGGAACGCATGCCGGGGAGTCTCGCGCCAGCTCGCGTGCAGTCTGTGGCTGAGTTGTTTGATAAATTTGCTCTTCAGTGGAGGTCGTGACAGCGCAGAATCGCTTGATATGCTGTATCATGTGATTCAGCATGTATACAGGTCTCGAACAATGCATCTGCTCTAGAGACCCAGAGTTAGTACTGAGAGTATTCACTACAGCTACTCATCACGAATGATGACAACTGAAAGCAAAGTCTTTCCGGAACCAGTTGTAACCTGCATCTCTCTCATTCCAGTACTGCAATCAATAAGAGCCATTGTTCTTGCAATTTTGACAATGACTTGCTATTATCCTTGATCCCTCAGTACTTGTTAGTAGCCACCGTGTGGTACTTCCTTTGGTGTTGAGGGTTTGGATTTGGGGGTCACTCTTAGTTCGCCAACAGCCTGGCAGGCTTCTTGAGGGCTTCTTGTTGCTCTTTTCAGAGGCATGGATGTGTCAGAGTGAAGCCATCGAGGCCTCGACGCCGTCTTCGCCGCCAGAGTCTAGCCCATCTGAAGGCTCAGATGCAGTCTGATATAGCATGATGCAATGAGCATCCGTTCCACTGCGCCAGATTTGAAGGGAAGGGAGGAGTGAGAGGGCGCGACCCCCCCACCAAAAGCGTCGTGAACCTTGCAAGGCGAGTCTGGAGGAAGCAGCGCCGGATCGAACCTAAGCGGCCAAGACCCTCAGAGCCAGAGAGCGAGAGTGAGGGCCCGGAGATGCGAGATGTTCTCTAAGAGCATCGAAGGCGTCTCTCTCCTTGGCCCCAGAGGACCGAACAGCTCCGTCTCCTCCAAAGAGATGCCAGACGTGACAAAGACGCAGCCCAAGGCTTTGAGGGCCTTTCCAGGGCATTTCAGGGCATTCCAGGGTTTCCAGTTTCAGTTCCTAATCCCTCCTGTACCATCTTTCGTCGTACTCCTTACTGGCATGGAGAAGAGCCGTTAGCATGTGGCTTGTGCCCCTGCAGCTCTTGGACCAAGCAGCTGTTCGTGTTGATCACACGGACCCATGGAGTCCATCCACCTTTCCGTGTTTTGGCCCGTCACTGGCAGCCTCCAGGCCATCCTCCTCGCCCGGGTGTCCTACTTGGCGGTGACCAATCGAAGCCACTTGCTGGGCTTGTGCAGAAGACTTGCTGGGTACCACAAGATGATGTTCAAGCTGCAGCCTGCAAACTCGGCGGAGAAGCTTGTGGCCGATCAGGTGTGCCAGCAGCATCTCCAGATGGCGCACTTGTACTTGAGCCTGCTGTGTGGGCTCACTCTGCTAGCTCTCCTGGGAGTGCAGCTAGAGGTTCTGAGCAACGCAGTGGGATGGATGTCAGCAGCCATGGTTTGGGGCGTTGTCGTGGTGTTTGCCATGAGCTTGCTCCACGTGCTACGACCAGCCCTGCTGACGGCATCCAGGCTGGAGGCAGTATACTTGGCACTGATGGTGCTAAGCGCAGTAGCCTTGTCACCTTGGTTCACACCGCGTGATCATCTGTTCAGGGTGTGGGTTTGTGTCCTTGGCTTGGTTCGTTTGCCTGCTGTTTGCATGGCCCCCGAGCCTTTCACGGTGGCCTTGTGCTGCCTCGGGCCCTTTGCCGTCGTAGTGGGGCGTGCTGTGCTGGAGGGAGCGCCTCTGGCGACAATTACAATCTCAATCTCTGCGGAACTCTGTGGCTTCTTCGTGACGCTGGTCTCGGCAGTTTCTTTGCAGGCCGCTGTGAGAGAGTTTCAGCTTTCCACAGCTTTTCCTTCTCAAAGCTTCTTCGTCCCCCATCCGAACACTTACTTAAAAATTTCCAAGCTCGCTGACTCTCTAAGGGTAGTTAAATGTGTTCTGAAGTGCGGGCCCAAGGGTTTTACAGGGTTTAAGGGGTATGTACTTGGTGAATTTTCAAGGGCCCATATTTAGGAACCATGTATCTACCCTCCGTGGCCAGGCCAGTCTTCGACACCGTACCGCAGAAAGCATGCGGTACCAGCAGCTTTCCAGGGAGATGAGCGCTGCATCCTCGCCTCTTGGATTGAGCCTGGATTTCCTCTTTCTACTGGTCCAGCGGGGTGCGCGTTCCTCCTTGTGTGCGTGTGACCGGGATTCAGAAGTTGCAAAAGTGTGGTTCGGGAAGTTGGAAAGTGCAGATTCGGAAAACCAAAGCGCGGGGAAGTTTTGGGAAACTGGAAACCTGCAGGTTCGGAAGCTGAGGATTCGGGAAACTGGCCACCAGCGAATTCGAATTTGACGAATCGCGTGGTTTCCTGAATCGCGGAAACCAGTTTCCTGCATCGCATGCTTTGTTGAACAATTCTGAATCGCCTGAAGCCAGTTTCCCGAATCGCCTGGTTTCGAACTGAATCCTGGCTTTCCCGAATCGCCAGCCGGCACTCCAGCAATGCAGCGAGATTGCAGACACGCTCCTGAAGCTTTAGTCCGCGAGGCTGCTTGGATTGACCTGCGATGCGGTCTTCGAGTTGGACGAGGCCAGGTTTCGTCAGGGGTTTGCAGGGCTGTCGGATGTCGAGTCATGCTTCGCTTGCAGGATCTACGATTGGTGGAGCACTCGCATGAGCTTGCTGCCCTCGTACAGCAGAGCTCCACTGCCCATGCCCGCTTCATGGACTTTGTGCCCCTAGAGGAGTCGGTCCGGGTAAAGGAGCTTCTGCACCGTTTCGATGGCTACCCGCCCGAAAGCATCAACACCCAAACCTTTCTCACCCGGCTGATGGACATCCGTTCCAACTTCCGCGCCGAAGTCTTTCAAGTCACGTACCGCAAAAACCATGGGCGCAAGATCCGGCACCTGGTCGGCCTTCGGGAGTCAGGCCAGCGCTCACCGGGCTCACCGGTCGCGAGCGCCACTTTGGATTCCGAGAACCGGCAGTCGTCTTACGCCATGCTTTCGCCAGGCATCTTCACCCCGAACAGCGATTTGATGGAGCCACCGCAGAAAGCCGAACCTGCCATCGAGCACAAGCGGCTCTTGAGCCTCCAGATTGACATGCAGCGGGCGACCATACAGGCTGCATCCAAGCCAGGCTTTACCGGGAGGAAGCTGATGGAAGTGTTTTCCGAATCCGGGCTCGAGGTTTTGGAGCGAGCATGGGCGGAAGCACGCTTAGGGGACAAAGCCGTGTCATTTCGCTCGCTGGAGCTGCGCTTAAGTGCATCCGTCCGTGATTGGGTGGATGGCATCCTGGAAGTAGCAACGACGGACATGGGCGAGCAGCACCTGGAAATGCGCTGCCTGCTCCCTCCGATGCTTGCAGGAAGCCTCGAGGCCCTTCCTTCCCTTCCTTCCCTTCCCCGAAGCAACTCGAGAAGCCTACAGGGCCTGCAAGTCCTTCCGCGCCTATCGGAAGCACCGGCGCAGGAGGCACCCTCCCAGGATGTGGATGCTCCTGAGTTCGTCAATGTGAACTTCTAAGAACAATGATTCGAAGAAGTGTCTCGAAGTGCAGCATGTCGGGGGAAGGCTTTGGGCAGAAAAGATGGCCCGCAGATGTCAGCAAGTGTTCAGTGGCCTTCGGTACTTTGACCAGCCTCTTGCAGGTGCACTTGGAAGAGTGCGGCACTTTGCGTCCAGACGGCCCGGTCTGCGAGGTCCGCGAGGCGGGTGGGTATCCGTCCACGGCGCCTTTGCAGGGGATACTCGGGGTGGCGACCAGACCGCAGTGTCAGCACTGACCCAACACCTGACGCAACGAGGTCAGTCCAAAACGGCGGGCATCCATCTCCTTACCTTTGGCTTTAGTGCAACTTGGCAATGACTTGGCTCCGTTTTGTAGAGGCTGGCACGTTCAAGAGGTATGATGCGGTATGACGTTGTAAATGGCCCTCGCATGTGAATCACACATGTCGGGTCAGAGACTGCAGACTTCCTTTCAGGGACCTTTTGGGAGTGAGGGAGCCGATAGCGTCTTAAGGAGCTTGGCAAGAACCCCCCGATTGGGCTCTTAGAGGCTTAGACTGTCTGAGAGGCCCCCAGATTTTTGCCTGGAACAGCTTGGCAAGTGCGTTGACCATGTTGCACCTGAAAGATCTTGTTTGACCAATACTTGATTTTTGAGCTCTGAGCTGTTGGATTTTGCATGTTGTGTATGAATCTGCCATTTGTAGGACTCGTAAAATTCAACCTTGTCTTTTTTGGACTGCTGGAGAAGTTGAGAAGTGAGAAAAGCGTTTAGTTGAGACTTGTAGACGATGTGACTGCATCCCTGGCTACTGCATCCCACTACATGATACTGCATGTTCCCTCAAGAGGCCCAGTCACGACAGCCGGGACAACTTTTCCAAGTCTTCGTGTGGCGCTCCCAGTCGCAGTGCAGCGAAGAATACATCTTGGCAAGGCTAGCCGGCATTAGAAGTTTTGCTTCAAGAGAAAATGTCTTGCCATATTCACTTCGTAGCTTACCATTCCAGCAGCATCTGTCATGACCTAGGTGTTGGCTCAACGCCTGGTAGTAGTGGCAGCAGCCTCAAGCGACGCGACAGTACCAGCAGCTTGCTGAGAAGACGCAGGAGAAATCCCTCTGCAACACAGGGTTGCACACCGGTCAGGGAGCATGTCCGTTCATTCTTAAAAGACCTACAGTTTAACCTCCCATCCGATCCCCTCAAAGGTGCGCTGTGCTCCCTTGAAAGGCTTGAAAGGGTGGACCTGAGGGGAAAGCTCTTGGGAAATCGCTCGCAGAGGAGCAGCACCCTGGGCCTGCTGCAGCAAGAGTTGGCTGAGCCACTGGAGGGCTCTGCTTCCAGGAGTAAGGCGCCTTGGCCAGTGCACGTTTCAGCCTGGGACCCCCACTAGGAGGTAAAGCATACAAAGTCTTGATGGGCGGCAGCAGCATGTCAACGGCACTTGAGATTCGTGACTTGTGGTCCTGACTTGGCAAGAAATGCCAGGTTCCGGAGCAGTGGCTGCCACCTTCCGACGCAGAAGCAGGCACAGTCTTCCTGGCAGCAGAAGGACAGTTGTGGCATGTTTGTCATGTTTCAGCCGGGGCCAGACGGGCCGCTCCTCATCGGTCGTGTGCAGCAGCAGATAATTTATCAGATATCAGCCATGTCTGGATACAAAGCAAGCGGAGAGTCAGGCAGCCGAGCATGGTCCAGTAAGCGCAGCGAGCAAGGAGACGCACAGACACACAGATCATAGACTTCGAGACGCCCAGCGTGGGCGTAGGGTGCCATGGAGGAGAAATGGGGCCCTGTGATTGGTTTGCTGGCCATGCTAGGCGGCTCCTTTTGCTTCTCACTGATGGCCCTGGTGGCCGCAGAGCTTGGCTCTGGCCGGGCATCGCCGCATAAGTTTGCGCCGTTTGAGTTGGTCTTCTGGCGATCTCTCTTCATGCTTGCGATCACCATGTCCAGCACTCTTTCAAAGGGTCTGAACCCTCTGGGCCCTGCCTGTGCCCGCACTCGTGGGATCCTGGTGATTCGGGGCCTCTGTGGGGTGGCTTTCATGGCAACATACTACTACTCGCTTGCCGTGCTTCCGATGAGTGATGCGGTTGTGCTGACTTACACCAGCCCCATGCTCACCGCGTTGGCTGCCACGCTGTTCCTGGGCGAAACTTGGCACAGCCTGGACTTCTTCGGCTCGGGCCTTTGCCTGGCTGGAGTGATGATGATCAGCAAGCCACCGGCGCTCTTCCACCTCCTCGGACTGCAGGACGAGCATGTGGATCTCCCACCGCTGGGCCTTGCGGCTGCCAGCTGCGCCGCCGTGAGTGCCACTTGCGTGTACGTGATCATCCGTGTCCTCAAGGACTGGTTGAGGCAACCCTGAGAAGCTTGAACAAGTTTTGTATACACAGCCTAAGTGCCTAAAGTCCCAAAGGCCTCATGCGCTTCACTCATCTCAGCTGGCAGGACAAGGATGTGCACTCCCTTGTGTTTGTGAACTACCTTGCCATGGCGGCGGTGGTCACGGCTCCCGTGATGGGCCTCGGGCCGTTCAAGGAGACTTGGGCTGTCCCCTCCTCGTGGGCCCTCGTGCTACTTGTGGCTTTAGCTACACTTGCTTCAGTAGGTGAGACGATGATGGCCTTTGGCCTCAAGGTGGAAACGGCCGCCAAAGCCACCTCCATGAACTACTTGCAGGTGGTCTTCGCCTTCATCTTCCAGCGCACGTTGCTCCACGAGTCGAGCAGCGACTTCCAGAGCAAGATGGGTGCTTTGCTGATCTCTCTGTGGGGTATCGTGGCCTTGGCCAAGGAGGCGGCTGCCCAGGCGTCTGCTCCCAATGGGCCAGGACGAGGGCTAGAGCCACTGCTTGACGATGGGAAGGACAAAACGAAGCCGATGACCCTGTCCCCGGGGCTGCTGGCGATGATCGTGGGCGCATTCTTCTTCTCCTTGATGGCCCTCTTGGTGAAGCTCTTGAGTGGCTTTGGGACCTATGAGCTGGTGTTCTGGCGATCCGTCTTCATGTTCGTGGGAACCATGTCCATGCTGGCCGTGAAGAGGATCAATCCGCTTGGGCCTCCAGGCAGCCGCGTCCTGCTCTGGGTGCGAGCTGCTGCCGGCTTCGGTTTCATGAGTGGGTACTACTATGCCATCCAGCACCTGGCGCTAAGCGATGCGGTGGTCATCACCTACACCAGCCCGGTCATCACGGCTATTGCTGCGGCGCTGCTGCTGGGAGAGGCTTTGCGTTTCCAGTTGAACTTCCTCATAAGGGCCTCCCTGAGCAGTACTTACTTGATAGATCTTGATAGTCCATGTCCGTCTTTGTCAAGCAGCGATGCCCTGGTCCCTTGGTCCCCCATCCTTCCCCAACCCATCATACGAGAATTGTGTTTGCAAACGGGGGGGGGGGCTGCGCCGCATGCTTCATAGAATGTCGTGCTGCCAGTGGACATTCCTTCAAAACCCAGATCACCCCTCCTTGTCATTTTTTCTCTTCGCTAGCAGTCGTTTTACACCAGGCATGTTTGCCGTTGCGCGAGCAAACGCTGCTGTAAATGTTGTTATTCGCAGTGTTTTGAGCTTGTGCATTCCCGAAATGTTGTAACTTGCAGCATATGAAGCTTGTGTCTTTTGCAAAGAAACTTACAGCATTTGGAGCATGCGAACAGCCAGAAATGCTGTATTTGAGAGCATCTGGAGCTTGTGACGAGTCAGAAATGTGGTAATCTACAGCACTTTGGATCTCAAGCAGACATGCTGCAATCTACAGGCATGTGGCTAGAAATGCTGAACTAATGTAGCGATGCTTATGGAATGGATTTGTGGTCACCAGCTTTTGCCCCTCTGCTCCTGCTGAAGTTTGTAGCATCTGGAGCAGTTCGAACTACGGTAAAAAACATGGTAAATTAGCAGAATTTGGAGCCCTGGAACACGCAGAGTTGCCGTATTTTTCAGCATTTACAGCTTGCGAACAGCCGGAAATGCTGCGTTTCATAGCATATAGAGCCAGGAAGAAGGGGAGCCAACGTTAGCAAGGAAAACGCGCCAGAACCAGCCTTAGGGAAAAAACACCCTCGGCCAAATTCCAATGCGCGCTTCTTCGCAGTGGTCTTTCTTAACGTGTCTGCACTGTCGTGTTTCTCCTGAACAGGCGTGGGGCCCTTTGGATGCGTTGGGGAGCATCCTTTGCATGGCAGGCGTTGTCCTGATCAGCAAGCCCAGCTTTGTGATGACCTTGTTTGGTGCGAAGCCCAAGCCCGTCGCGCTGGATGGCTTGTTGGGCGCTGCCATTGCCGCTGTCATGAGCTCCGTCGTGTATTTGCTGGTGCGTGTCCTCAAGGGCGTGCATCCTATGGTCTTTGTGAACTACTTTGCTGCTGCTGGAATTGTTCTAGGCCCGATCCTGAGCATCGCGGCAGGAGAGACGTGGTCATGGCACACGCAGAGGGACTGGCCGCTGCTGGTCCTCCTAGCTGTCTTCTCGATCATTGGCCAGGCCCTCATGAACCTAGGCCCCTTCATCAGTTAACTGCGGCGTAGTTCCGCCAAACCCCTTTGATGCAATCACATAGCAGGTTAGTTTGAATGAATTGACCTTCACGGCAAGCCTCGCAAGCCGTCTGAAGCAACTATATTTTTAAATGTTACTATAATATTTAATATTAAGACCCAGATCAAGGAACCTGGGCCTTACGCTCGAAACTGCCGCGAAGGCGACTGCAATGAACTACTCACAAGTCGTCTTCGCCTTCGTTTTTCAAACCACCCTCTTGCACGAGCCCACGGATCCGCTCAGCATAGCGGGCTCGGTGATGATTGCGACGTGGGGAGTCATTGCCCTGGTGAAGGACTCCTTGCAGTCCAAGCCACCTCCCATGGAGAAGAATCAAGTCAATGAGGCTACGAATCTTGACATGATTCTGGATCGACGAAAGTCGTTCGAGCTGGAACATCGCGACAGTGAGTTTGATGCTCACTGAAAAGTGCACTTAATCGTGAGAGCGCCTTGCTGCAACTCGCTGCAACAGCGTGCTCTCAGGCAGTTGCGCGGTTTTGGACTGGGCCCTTTCTCGGCCCAATCTTTGAAGCTTGAATAATTATGCTTGAGTCCTTCCGCAGGAGGCAGCATATGCAGCAGAGACAACTGCAAACAACCTTTTGGTATCTAAAGCCGATTGAGAGTTTTGACCCTTTGCGAGTCGAGGAGGAAGCCTGTACTGGACCACCGACAGCCGAGCTTTTTGTGGTTCAGTTTATCGGGCCGCTCCTTGCTTAAGCAAGCTTAGATGGATTCTGTTAGCCACTGCTGGTCCGTGAGCAGGGTGCCGCAAAACCAAATGGGCATGCAGGGCAGATTGACTCTTGCAGCCTCTTCGCGGGGTGTCTAAAGGGCTGGCATGAACACACATATATATATATATATTGTCTCTATGTATCTGTGCTTCTTACGATGACTGTCTCACCGTGATCGTACTTGTTTCATTTATTGGTTTTCTGGTATAGTCACAATGTCCTGTGCTTTGAAACTCACACTGAAAGTACTGAGCGTTGTCTGTGGTTGTTATAGCTTTTGTACCAGCAGCTTCTATATTGTAGCTGTTATATATATATATATATATACATATATATCTGTGTGTTGTAGCTGTTATATATATACACATGCATATACATACTGTGGCTGTTATAGGCCTTGGGCCGTCTTCCTTACACCACTGTGAGGCAGCCTCGAGCGGTCGGAGCTCGGGGCCGAGGCACCCGTTTTGCAAGGGTCTAGGGTTTAGGGTTTAGGGTTTAGGGTTGAGGGTTTGGGTTTAGGGTTGTGGTTTAGTACGGAGTGCCCACGAGTGAGCTGAGAAACGATAAGACTTGCACGAAAACGTTGTAAGACGACAAGGAGTAGAAAAGTACGATAACACTTTTAGGGACCAGAAATTTCGAAGAAGTGTTTCAGGGTCGAGGCTCTAAGTGTTTGATGGTTTAGGGGTTTCGGGTTTCAGGGTTTGAGGGTCTAGGAGTCTAGGACGTCTTGGCTGTAGGTTTTCTTGCCAGGTCTCCAGCAGCAGCGGGTACGAGTCCAGGAAGTCCGAGTAACTTAGGGAGCTTTGAAGGCTTTGAGTCCCTTACTTAGGAAAAATATCCCAGAGCATGTCGCGGGGCACCACAGCGCAGGCGACGGTGGAGATTCGCCACTGGCTTCTGGGTCACACCTCTGGGCAGCAATGCTCACAGGCAGGTGTCGCATCGCATCTAGAATGGCAGATCTGGAAGCTTAACATGCAAGTAGGATTGTTAGAAACACACGTTTCGCTGCGACAGACGTGTTGTTTGCCGAAGGTGATTCTCGACAGAGCACTGACCGTGCTTTCCAACTTCAAGCTGGCCAGCAGGCTCCCCAGCATGATCGTGCGGCGTCCTCTTGGGAGCAGGACCTCTCCCTGATATGAATACTGATGAAGCTTAGGTTGGTTCTAGAGTTAGGGTTGAAACCACAACAGAAACTGCAAAACAACAACAAGGTCATGCATAACAGCGTTTTGGTTCTGCAGTTTTCTGGGTCTGGGTGGGGGTGTCTAGGACGAGGGGGAGGCGTCCAGTGCGTCCGGTTTCTGTCCGGTTTCTGGCCTCTTCGAGGGGGAAGGGGTCTCGGAGGAGGGGGAAGGGGTCCGGGACCTCCTGAAAGGCTTTTTTGGGGCTTTGCAGGGCAAACGACGTGAATGTGGAATGAGAGAGAGCTAAATTGTACGTCATGTGGTTTTGGGGGTGGGGTACTGGATGCGGGCCATGGAGAGAGAGCCACTGAGTACGAAATGCCAGCGACGAGAAAGGTTTGCTTCGTGGTTATGTACACGTTTGCTGTAGTTACACTTCGGGCGGGCCAATTGTGGTTATAGCACCTCCTCACGATGGTTCTAGGTTGGTTTTGGGTTGGTTCTGGGTTGGTTCTGGAGGCAGCTCCAGGAAGGGTGATGAAAGGGCACTCGGGGCCCGCCCCTGAATCATCTAAGCTTCAAGCCCAAGCTCCAGCCCAAGCACAAGAGCTCTCAAGAGGGAAGGGAAAGCAAGGCAAAGACTCGTGCGGACCTCCGCGTACCGAGGTGGATGCGAGTTGGAAGTCTTGGGAGGACGCACGGCCATCGGGTCAGGGTCTTTGCACGTCCCAACCCGGCAGTTGCAAGCCTAACAGGGCTTAACAACGCGTATCTGCCTTAAACCACAATCCGAAGAGCTACCGCCTAAACCTTATCCCTAAACTCCACACCCTGAACCCTCAAACCTTAAACCCTCCTTAAGTTAAGCCCTTACACCCTATAACCCCTAACACCCTCAAACCCTAAAACCCTCAAACCTTTCGGCTTTGCCTCCAGGACCGCTTGGGGCTCTTGTTGGCGGGTACAGCGATGCGGACTGGCTTTACAGTGAGGCCCCGAAGCCACCTTCGGTTGAGGGCCTCGGGTTTAGGCGGGGTCCCTAACCCTAAACCCTCAACCCTAAACTCTAAACCCTAAACCCTCAACCCTAAACCCGCTGTATGTGGGGGTTTTCGGAACTTTGGGCCTTTTCCGGGGAGGGTGATTCGATCATGTTTAGGTACAGAGGGTCACCCCCCCTTTTGGGTAGATTCTCAGACGTTTTCCTTTCTTCCTGGGGTGTCACACCCGATACTTTGGGTTCCATTATGTGTCGTGACAAGCTCAGACTCTGTATGAGGGGGCACGCGTGAACTCAACACCCTAAAAGCCGTCCCAGACCCTGAGCCGAAAACAGCAACTTCCCGAGCCCTGAGCCCTGAAGCTTTCAACTGAGCCCCCCAAAAACCGAAAAAGGGAGTCGAAAGCCCAGGGCCTGAACTCACCAAGAACCCCCTCATACGCACAGCCCTAAACCCTAAACCCTAAACCCTAAACCCTGAACCCTGAACCCTAAACCCTAAACCCTAAACCCTAAAACCCTAAACCCTAAGCACCCTTGGGGAAGCAGGTCTTTCAGAAGCATCCGGCAGATGCCATCCGCGAGTCTTTCGCCCTCCTCGGCTTCCGGAACCGCTCTGATGGCGACTGGCGTGGGGCCCTACACTCGAAGGGCCCTTCCTCCCAAAGTGCCCTTGAAAGAGTGGGCTTAGGGGTTGCTAGAAGGCAGTAAGCTTAGGGGTTCTTAAAGGATTTAGGGGTCGTGAGTGTGCAAAGGATGCTGGTGGCGCGCATCTAGGGTTCATGGGTTGGGCATGAGGGTTCGGGGCTTTAAGGGATCTTAAGGGTGTACCCCCTTTGGGGACGCCCGATTCGCCGAAAGAGCCTTGCGCAAGGGGTGCCTGCCTTGGCTTCAGGTCCAGCACCTCTGTCGAGGAGATTTCCTTAGTCTATCGGCGAATGTGCCTTCGCGGGCATCCCAGCCGTGGAGGCGCAGCCTCAAGAAGGGATGTATGCAATGAACCCAAATTGCCCCCCAAGGACGCCTTACAAGCTTAACCTTACAAACCCCCGATAGGGCACAGCCCCAAAAGAGTTTGGGCGGTGGTGCAGGGCAAGAGTTTAGATGGGTGACGCCACCAGCCCCTGCGAGGATCTCCAAAGGATTATCTGAAGCTCCAGGCAGCCACGGGAACGCCAACACTTCCGCGCAGATTTTTCGCGTTTTTTGAGCTTAGGGTTCGGGATGTGGTGAGAAAACTCCAAGAATTGTGCATCAGGTAGCGATGGAGCTCATAAAGGCCTTCTGTGGAGATGCTGGCCCGCTGCAGGCTTCACGTGCAGTAGCATGCAGTTGCAACCCGAGTTGAGAACTCTTGTATGTGAGTAGCGCATGTGAAGTTGTTGTTTCGTTTATGGGGCCGGTCATCGTCATTGCCCGTGTACAAAAAGCCCCCCCTGCTGCCAGGTGGACCGGCGGATTCAAGCGGAAGCTTCCGTGCCTGAAGGCCGTTGCCTTTTCCAGGGACCTCTTCTGAGGGACCGGTTGTTTCAATAAACCAAAGATGCTACCGCTCACGTTCACCACAGGGCCGGCAGCTGGCAGCGAGAGCAGCAGCCACTTTGCCCTCCTCTCATGTGATCTCTCGGTGTGCGTTGCGTTGGTGTTTCTCTCCGTTTCAGGCGTTGGTTGGGGGTGTATTTGGATGCATTTTGGAGTCTTTCGCCCAAGGTGCTCAGTGACTTGTCCCTTGCCCGGGAGCTGCAGTTGAGCGCGGCGGAGGCCTCGAAGGAGCGCCCCCCCCCCCCCCCCCGCCCGACGCTGACAGAACCGCGGCTCCGGCGCCTCCGGCGCCTCCTCCCTTTATTTGTTTTGCACCTCTGGCGTGTCCTGAGGAGGCGTCGCAACTCAGTGCAGACCACCTAGAGGCCCGGAACCCGAATGCTTCACCGCACTGGGCTCATGATTGTTATTCGCCAATAATTGCGGTACTTGAACTTGTGGCAAGGAAATGAACCGAGCACTGGACGAATACATCCTCAGGCTTTCGCAGAGCCACGACTCTCATTTCCTTGTGTTGAAAGAATTGCCGCTGTCAGCTGAACTGGCAGTAGCATGGAGCAGGCAAATGTGCTTCAAGAGCGAGATTGTGGATGAAATCGCCCGTCTCCATGAGGAGTGACATTGGAGTGGCTGTGAGGAAGTTCGGGCTAGCTGTTCAGCGATCTTTGCCGATCGTCTGAACAAAGCCAGGACTCGGCCTATGCGATACTGGGTGTTTCATCCAGCGCGACGGATGCCGAGATCAAGAAGGCGCCGGCGCCAGATGCCTTGCAACTTTACCGAGCAACTCGTGCGATGTGGGGGAGGCCTACCGCCTCATCGCGATGCAGTGCCACCCCGACAAGGGAGGAGACAAGGAGGACTTCCAGGCCGGCCAGGAAATCCCCCAAAAAAGTCCAAAAACCCCAAAATCCCCCACAAAAGCCCCTTGAACCCCCCAAATTCACGCAGGAGCTGACAAACGCCTACGAGAAAATCATGGAGCAGCGGCGCTCGGCCGACGACCGGGGGCCCAAGGTGGGGGGTTTCTGATGCAGAGCCCAGAAATCAAGGGTCTAAGGGATCCCGTAACCTCCCCAAGAATCTAAAGGCCTTTTGGGGGGGTTTGGGCTTAGGGTTTGACTTTAACGAAGTTCCAGACACCCGTCAAAACCCCAAACGTTGCCAAAAGAATCCCTCAGGACCCCAACGCCACCCCCTGCCCGCAACGCCTTTCCGCGAGGAGCACGGCGAGAGCGAGGGCGAGGAGACCAGAAGGGGGTTTTGAGATTTTCAGGTGTGGTTTCAGGAGTTTTGAGGTTTAGGTGATTTTTGAGGGGGTGTTGAGGGGCCTGGAGGGCTTTCCGGATTTGAAGTCTGAGGCTCTCATGCCGCGCTTGGCTCGGCGATCGCAAAGCAATTAAGTGCTTGAAGCGGGGGCAGTTGGGGGCTGCTTGACTGTGTGCCCCCCTCACTAAGCTTTACTGGAGGGGCGCTGACATCGAACAACACCCAGCTATGCCCCACTTCGAAACCCAAATCCAATAATGAAATTGGTATGGTTACAAGCCCCCTAGATAGGGACATGTATACATGTATGCATATATACTGATACACACATGAGTCACATGAGGTACAGTTGTCCTGCTTCTTCCAGGAGCCTACGCCGGACCATGGCAAGAGCCAGCCCAAGAAGCGTGCCCAGAAGAAGGCGGGAGGGCTTTGGGAGGCCCTGTTTGCCAGGGAAGGGCCTTAACTCAGGCCCTGCCCTGTGCCCCAAAACGCCCCTGAGAAGCAACGCCCACCCACCCTTTCGGGTGCCCATCCGAGGAGAGCTCGGCCAGCCCCTCCGAGGCAGTCTCTCATGTCGGGCGTTGCGGTTTCTCGTGCTTTGGGCTGTGGTGTGGGAGTTGGGTTCTTGGCTTTGGAGCTTATGTGGGGCTTGGCTCAAGGTTTCATGGTGAGTTTTTTTTTTTTTTGCCAGGTTAGTTGTATGTATATGTGTGTGTGTGTGTGTGTGTGTGTATGTATGTGTATGTGTATATGGCAAATGTATATGACTATGTATATGCACATTCGTACGCATATGTGTATATTTATATGTTAGTACGTATGTATGTCTGTGTGTCTGCATGTACGTGAGTCGTATGTATGTATATGTATGGTGTTTGTGTGAGTTACCCAACGTTGTCCGGTGCATGCGTGCCTCATCAGGATGAAGAGGAGGAGGAGGGCGGGGCCGACAAGGCACAGGATTGCTGCAAGCGCAGCGTGTCTGCACGAGGGCCCCAGTCAACCACGGATCTGCTTTGCGAGGCCGAGGGTGACAAGGCCAGACACGCAAAAAGAGCAGCTCAGGCCGGTTCGGGGAATGTCAGGGCCCGGTTCAACCAAATGTTGGGTGTCCTTGGACTCGGACCTCGCGTGAGGAAGATGCAACCCTCCTCGAGAAAGCCAGCAAGGCCACAGACGCGTATCTTGCTCTTCCGACTGCATCAGCCTTTCATGAACACCTCTGTCCTGAGCGCGTTGTGGGCCATTCAGAAAAGCCGGTGTTTGGCTGGGTCATAGGGTCATAGAGGGGTCAGATGCGTCGCCCGTTGCCTTTCAAGACAGCGCAGGCGGCGGAGGAAGCCTCACGCTATGCTAAGACTGCCGCCGAGTTCGCGCATCAGGTCCATGACCTGGTACATTAGCAAACCAGCTGACTGCTGCCTGGTGATGACACGAAGTTTTCATGCCATCCTCGAGAAAAGCAGATACGTCGCCCTGCGATGCAGGCAGCGGAGGCTGCAGAAGCCGCACGACGAGACCAGGCCACGCGTGAGAACTGAAACGCCTCAGAGTTTTCATCCTTCACATCCATTCCATGTGAGGGTTTATACGGTATCAGGGGTACCTTATTGGGGTCCTTATTCTAAGGGGATCCTACTATTTGGACATCTATATTGGGGGTCCCCTACCCATGCTGCTCGGATCTTTCACAAGGAGCTGGGTGGCCGCGAGACCCTCATCAAGTCGGTGCGCCGCCCTAGACATTGTAGTGGCATGTGTGCAGGCACCTCACAGCACCCCCCCTGACCCTAAACCCTAAACCCTAAACCCTAAACCCTAAACCCTAAACCCTAAACCCTGAACCCTGAACCCTAAACCCTGAACCCTGAACCCTGAACCCTGAACCTCTAAACCCTAAACTGAGCCAAGGTTGCCCACTCAGCCATCGTCTACACCCTGACGGTTGTGAAGGCACTTCGATCCGCCTGGGGTACTGTTCTACGTTAGGGCTCCCTGAAAGATGCCTGGCAATGGCAAGTCGGGTTCCCTAGAGAAAGGTCCCCAAAGAGAGCCCCGCCCCGCCTCTTCAACAGTCCTTCCGCACATTGCCATAAAGCCTACTTAGCCTTGATGGGTTTTGTTGCTTCTGGGTCCTCTGGGGTCACTCTCCTACTACTGCAGTCTGTTTGGGCTGCTTGCCTCTTTGGACATGGCATCGTTCTCCTTCCTTTTGCTTTCAAATTCCTTGCCACCAGCTCATGCTAGAGGCACAGCATCCAGACATGTTCAATTCGGGAATCTCGCAAAAAATCTCTGCAGCCATTCCAGTGGCTTGCTGACATGTTGAGCCCATTGAGCCCCCGAGGCAGAAGTTGCGCAGAGCTGTTCTCGCCCCTAAAATCCCTTGGGGGCCCTGAACCCCTGAACCTGCGAAGAGCCACGGGGAGGCCGTCCGTGCTGTGGGCTATGCCACACTGGATGTGGCAGCGCAGTGTCGTGCAGCGGCCAAGTCGAAGCCCTATAGGGGGGGGAGTTTGGGCCCCGGGCTGCCGGGTGCAGGGGGTTTTGCAGGGCCTTCAGGCCTTTCTGTGCCTTTTTGCGTTTGACGGCCTGTTGCGTCCTGCCTTGTAGCCACCCCTTTTGGGTTTTTTGGGTAACCCCAAACCTTAGACCCAGAACCCTCAAGCCCAAATGCCTCTCAGGCGGAATCCTGATGCCACTGGCTGTGCTGAGCACGCTGTGAGTGCCGAAAGCTGAGTGTTGCCGTGGAATCCTAGTGCTGAGATGATAGAGATTCTGAGGGTTATACTGCTACTTCTGATTATATATCATTTCATTTTAGTAGCACTAAACAAATGCTAGTCATACTCGTGCCTTGTTGTAAATGTTCGTGCACACAACCAGACAAGCTGCAAACATGAGGCATTCATCCTTTTGTACTTAGATCAGCAGGGGGGGCAGAGGTCGTCAGGTGTTCCGGCAGGGAGAAGCCCCAAAACATTTTAAAGTAAGTACCAGACCCATATCTTCCACAGTCCAACCTGGCCCACAGGCTTAAACTCTGAGTATGCTTGCTGGACAGAGCCCCTGAGGCCATGAGCCTTGGTCTGGAGGCCCTGAACTCGGCGCTCTCCTGCGCAGAGGCGTTGGGGTTTTTTTGGGAGGTTAGAAGATGCAGATAGGTAGAGATATCATCATGCTGTTTTTTGCTAGTTCTCCTTTCGGATTGACAGTATTATTTGTTTTTTTTCTTGGGCACAGCGGGTTTGGGGCTCAGGGTTGGGTGCTGTGGCAGTTTTGGAACTGAGGAGTTTGAGGTCGTTGGGCGGCTCGGCCATACAACAGGGGCTCCCAGGTGATCCAGCGCAGAGCATGGACCCTAACATTCAGGGAACTTTAGCGCCTTCCAAGCCCACAAAAAGCACCGTCGAGCTGCCATGTGCGTTGAGCAGAAGCACGGGAGTGCCAGAGGTATCAGAGCTGTGACATGTGTTTCTCACTGTCTGTGCTCCGGATTCCAAATGAAAACCCCCTCTAACTCTAGAGCTCTCCCAACCTTTGAAGAATATAGAGGCCTGCGGCATGCCTACTCTTCTCACCGGAAAGGGATGCAGAGAGTTTGTCTTCCCAAGAATGTGAAGAAAGCAAGTACACGCAAGTCTTGGACAGCTCCTGTCGTTTCTTTCACACGACATAATGAGAACTAAGCTCCGACAGCCTTTGTTCATGCTAACAAGGAAAGGGAGAGTTTCTTGTTTAAACGTATCCTTGCTTTGAGCAAGGTTAGAGGCTGAGACAAATGAAGCCACAGCTGATCTAGACAAGATCATGGCTTTTCAAATGAAAGGTTTTCCGATGCATCTTGAACTTGTCATATGTACAAGACAGACAAACCGAGGACAGCACGAAAAAGGAGTAAAACTGCTGGGACAAAAGAGCATCACGGCGACAGGAATCCTTGAAAGATGAACGTTGTTTCCTTAACAGGAAAGATGCCATGCAAGAGCATCGGCAATATGTTATTATCAGTAACAACGTACTGATCAACTTTACCGAGGCGTCTAAGGGCTTTTGAAGAAACACTTGCTGCCACCTTTGGCTGCACAGACACAATAGGCCCAGAGTATAAGAACAACACACACACACACACACACACACACGCAGATTATATTCTCTTACTCTGACGCACATATGTACTTATTGTAAACACAAGTAGGATGTCTTTATTTTTTGTGATACTTTATCATATATTATACCATGTGTGTCACATCTTTTTTTATTATATGTACTAAATGACACATACATATATATATATATATATATGTGTATATATATATATGGAGAGAGATCTACACAGAAAATATAGGTATATAGAAACATGCATATATATATATATATACATATATATACATATACATATACATATACATATACATATATATATATATATCACATTCATATGTCCCAATCTCAAGCTAAGTTAGTTCATATCGTACATTTTGTACGGCACACTACATGTCTTGAAAAGTTCGCAAACGCAGGTCACGGAGATCACAGCTGCCGAGCTTCAGGCTGGTGGTCTGGGGCAGTCCTTGTTAAGGCACTCGTGGTCGGCGCCCAAAATCTATGGTCCCATACGGGCTGCGGAATGGTCTTCGGAGTTCTTGCGGGCCCCTGGGGGCCTGGGGGTTCAGGTCCAGGGTTTCATGGCGTGGGATTCTTCAATCCTAACCCTAAGCCTCTCACCCTCAGCAGCAGTTGCGTCAGGCGCCGCAGGGGGATGGCCGCTCTGCTGCCGAGCGCTTTGCAGGCAAGCCTTTGAGGATCACGTATCCCATCAGGTAGCAGGTTAGCACGCAGTCGTGCCCAAACGGGTGCCTAAACAGCGGTGGGCGACTGTTGCAAGTTTGGATAAGAAAGGATCAGAAAGGCAGGCTCGCTACGATGAATGCTGAAAGTCTAGAGCAAATCCAGAAGACCCGAAGCCCTTGAAGCTGAATGCCGCGAAGCATCAGGAAGCCTCGTCCCCTCCACCCCCAGGCGCCGCAGTGCGTGCGTCCCTAGCCGCAGCGGGTGCCTCCAATGTGGCAATGCTGCGGGCCCAACATTGTTTGAGTGTAGAGGTGCGAGCAAAGTTGGGCTCCTGTTGCATGGTTTCGTTTTAAGATTCAGAGGCAGGCCGATGTTGTTCTGGGGTTCGGGTTAGGCAGGGTGTTGGGCTTTCTTCCAGATTCTGCCCGGCCTCCACAAAGCTCTTAGCACCGGTTTTGTGATGCACCGTGACGGGTCCGTATGCTGACGCGGACGAGCTTCTGGTTCAAGATGAAGCCCCAGCGGGGCTGTCCAACATGTGCCCTTCTCGTAGACTCCTACAAACACAAGTACCAAAAGAAGCCCAAAGGAGCCCATAGGATCAACCCCCCCCTCCCCCTCCCCAGCCCCGTAGCCATGTCGGCAAGACTCCCTTAAGAAGGCTTCCCGCAAATCACACTCTGCTCCTAGCTTTCCTTGACATGGGCGAGCAGGAGCCGGCCGCTGTTGATGACTCATCTGCGCTAGACGAGACATCAGATTCTACGGAGCCTGGCTACAAAGCTGCCGGCATGCCGGCCCTGTTTCAGGAGGCCCGGCGCTCCCTGCGCGTTCTGGCGGCAAAACTCGTGGCCATCGACCACAAGCCTCACGAGCAAAAGGATCTGCTGGTGGGGATATCGTGCCTGGCGCTGGCAACGCCCGCAATTCCAGCCTACTGTGCGGGAGACTTGCCCACTGTTTTTGTCACTCTCGGCATGACAATCACATCGCTGAATGCGGACTACCTTTATCTTGGCACTGTTTGGAATGTCATTGATCGTTGGTGCGCCCTCGGCTTTTCTTTTTACATGTACTGGCTGGCCTTTCCACATTTGCCGCTGCTCTCCTCCTTGAATGCCATTCCGCTGGTCGGCTTTCTCAGCTACTCCAGGCGTAGACTCCCGGGATCACCTGTAAACACCCAAAAGCTGGTCTCCTGGGGTCCTCTTGGCACACAATGGCACACATTTGCTTCACAGTATGGGGTTTACAGTGAACTGGGGCTTAGATTCGGAGACCAGACTTGGATGCCACGTGTTCACCCTGCAAACGGCAGCTAGAAAGGTCCCAACATCATCTCAGGGATGGTTTGCACCCCTCTAGTCATGTCGTCTAACACTCGCTCATGATGACCAGCCATCAGGAGCTCTGCGACGAAGGAGCAGTGGTCCTTCCGGCATTCGCTTTGGCACTTCTTCCTGGCTGTGGACATGCCCTTCTTCTTGGTGCTTCTCGGTCTCATACGCCTGCTTCATGGGTTGTTCTTGGAGGTTGCCGGGGTTGGAGGGTTCTGTGTGAACGAGCTTCCGACTCAAGAAGTCTCGAAGATGTCAAAGATGCCCCCCCCCTTTTTCCAGTCTCAGACAAAAAGCCAAGGTTCGGGGCCTACTCGGATCGCTTCTTCAAGCACAGTGAGGACTGACTTTTTGCACGGGGGCTGGCTTCCGAGAAGCCATGCCTCCAATTCACTGCCTTCCCTTCCGTTCAGAACGATTCCCGCTTCTGACTGGATGAGGTGTCAGGGACGTGCAGGTCCCAAGATGGAGCATGCCAGATGCTAACAAAATGTGTTTTTTGCGCTCGGCCTTGGAGCGGCTCTTGACCCCCACTTAGCCCCCCAGGAGCCTTGAACCTTGAACCATAAAGAGTTGGTTTCTGAATGTTCCAAGGGTTTAGGCTTTTTGGCTGCGTCGTCACCCAGGTCATCAGCAATAGCAGCGGTGGAAGGAAGCCGACAATGTGCCAAGGTGGACACACACGGCTTTGGCATTGTAGCTGGAGAACAGCCTTTGGTTTTCTTGGGCATTCCTGGTATCAACCATCGATACACTTTAGTCTTGAGGTTTGTCTCAACATGTGAGTAGAAATATGCAGAAGTAATCGTCATGACAGTGGTAACAATGAGAGTAGTCCTTTTCAGAACAAGGAGAGCAATGCTCCCACTTGTTGGTGATCTGGGGTGTTGTATCTTCGTCAGGACCAGGGAGTCGAGGAGATGCTGTGTTTCACACGTCTTGGGGAGCGTGCCATGACCATGTCCATTCTTCTTTTTTCTTCTTCTTCTTATGATGATGATTATTAAGATGAGTATTATTGTTATGATTATGATTCTTATTTGCCACTATTCTTCTTCTTATTACTACTACTATTATTATTATTATTATTATTATCATCTTTATTACTATTATTATTTCTATTATTGTTATTATGATTATTATTACTATGATGATGATGATGATTATTATTATTTGTTGATTATTATAAGTGTTATGATTATTATGACTATGATTTCTTCTTATAATTATTATTACTACTGTTATTGTGATTTTTGCATCATTGACCTATTTTTGTGGTGATTGTGGGGCGTCCTTTTGGAATTGGATCCTTGATAAGAACGCGCCAATGGCCCGGGGCCCTCCCCAAACCTTGGAGCCCTTGGAGCCCTTGGAACCCTTGGACTCCTGGAACCCTTGGAACCCTTGGAACCCTGAGCACTGAAGGCTAAACCCTCGACCCCAAACAATGAACCCCAAACCCTATGACCGGGCTGTTGGTGGCAGGCCCTGGAAAAGCCCGGCAAAGCTGCGGAAGCACCTCGATGTCGCGATTTAGGGTTCAAGGGTTGCTAGGATGGAGAGTTGAGCGGTTTCGGGTTTGAGGCTTGGGGTTACGTCGTTTTCGGGTTTTTTTGTTTGTTTTTTTGGGGGGACCTGGCGAAGCAAGACCACGCCGACGGCTTGCGAAGGCCATCCCCAAGTCCTAAACCCTAAACCCTACACCCGAAACCCTAAACCCTAAACCCTAAACCCTAAACCCTAAACCCCAAGCTTGCGTCCCAAGCTTGTGTCTGAGGCAGATCTGGATCCAGGAGCTGACGAGGCTTCTTGGGAAAGCCTAAATCAGGCCCCCTTTTTTTGGGTACACTTAATAATAGGGGCAGCCGAATACTAACAAGAAGGAGAATAATAATACGAATAATATGAATAATAAGAATAGTAAGAATAATAAGAATAATAGGGATAATAAGAATAATAAGAATAATAAGAAAAATAAGAATAATAAGAATAATAAGAATAATAAGAATAATAAGAATAATAAGAATAATGAGAATAATAAGAATAAGAAGAATAATAAGAATATTAAGAATAATAGGAATAATAAGAATAATAAGAATAATAAGAATGATAAGGACCCAAAAAAGAGAACAATAATGATAAGGACCCAAAAATGGACTATATCTTAGACACAGGATCGGACCATATGTTAACGCGGCGGCTGCTGTTTGGTGAGCATGTTGGCAGGCAACAGAGGCGGGAGAGGCGTGCGATGAGACGGAGGTGGGGAATGTTGAGCACGCTGCAGCCGGTTGCACACACTAAGGGTTTAGGGTTTAGGGTTTAGGGTTTAGGTTCCACATGCTACAACTGCGAGTCGAGCCCCATGCCTCCTTTGAGATAGCACCCTGTCATGATTCAGGGAAGTGCAGTTATGCGTGCCACACGGCACGCATTCACGTGCAATCAGGTGCTTGGGTGCAATAGACATGGTGGGCTATTCAGGAGCATGCACTCGAACCTCTGAAATGATATCAGGAGGACAACATCAGCTCGTATTCTTACAAGCGGTTATAATGGTATGCAGGAAGAGCCGACGTCTTCCTGGTGCAAAGCCTGTTATGTTTGCAGTTTTGTGCAGACTGCCAGATGTCGCCAGATCCCAAGCGCTAGATGTTGTTCACTGAGTCACTCCCCGCATGAACCTGTGCCAGCCTCATGTCTCTGGCATCATGTTGTGTGGGCATCCCTGTGCGCAGAGCAGCGACTCGGAGCCCGACGTCAAGCCTCCGCCCACACCGAAGCAGGCGCACCATGGTGCACCTTGTGTCGAGAAGGTCTGAACGGAAGAACAATCACACCCCAGGCTGCCAGTGCGGCGCTGCAGTGGAGCCCTCAAGCACTCAAGCGCGAGCGTGTGATGCGGGAGGGGATGCCTGTTTTTGAGCAGGATGTGCAGCACCATGTGTTTGAGTCTGTTCTGCTGCTGTGCGGTCATAAACCCGCCGAGTGCTGCGCATGTTCTTTGTCCGCTAGCTTCCCAGGCAAGATTGCTGTGTTAAGCTTGCAACAGCCATGGCATCATTGCTCAGGCGTCTCGTCGCTCAGAGAAACAACAACCACAAGGCTGGACGAATTTGGACTACGGATCACAGTATTTGAGAATATTCACCATCATCATCGTCGTTAGTGCTGGTGACGTAGTCGTATTCGTACTCGAACGAATTTGTCTTCGTATGATTATGACCATGATGTCTGGAAACGGAGCTTGGGGGGTTGAAACGCGGCCGGAAGCCTTTGTGTGGAGGTTCTGCAGAGGCTAAATGCCGAGATTCTCGGCCACCAGCGGAACGTGCCGCGCTGATTTGTCACGATGCGCCGGGGGGGCCGCATTGGGCGGCGATGTTCCTTTGTCGAGTTTGGCGCCAGTATTTGCCGCCTTAACCCGAAAACCCTGAAACCCGAAACCCTAAACCCTAAACCCTAAACCCTAAACCCAAAACCCCGAACCATGCTCAAGCTCCACGCAAGCCCTGCGCAGCCTCCGGAGCTCAAGGCGGCGGCGTTTAGTGGGACTAGGCTCGTCCTCTTTTGTTTGGGGAACTGGGCGGCGATGGCGGCCCCGCAGCCTGTCTTCAAGTTAAGAGAGCAGTGGGAGCCCCACGTAAGCCAAGTCTTAACTCAAGACTCATGGCAGTTCTTCCCGCGGCGCAGACATGCAAGGGATGTTGTTGGCTTGCTTTCCCCAGGGAAGAGAGCGAAGTCTTTCTTTCCAGTGAGCTCCACGCCGTGACCACACAGTCAGCATCGAGGACTGGAGGGACTTGCAGCATGGGCATCATGCCCTAATGTGTGAAGCATTTCCATAGTGCTAGTATTTCCGTAGTGCTATATTGGATGTATATATATATATATCTCTCTCTCTCTCTCTCTCTCTGGCAATGAAAAATCTGCTGCCAAGATGCGCTGACATCTGCATCATCTGTGGACCACATGTTTCGACATACCTCAGCTGGAATTTCTGAATTTTACTCTGGGCATCCCGATGCAAACCGATTCAGGGGACTCAAGTTGAATCGGGGGCCGGCTCCACGATCCAAGCGGTCGATGTGTGCTTGCAGTAAAAAAGGGCTGGTTTCAGAGGCCTTTTGCAGCCTCAAACTTGATTCTTTGGCTGCCGAATGTGTAGGGTTTTCCGAGGCCTTCACTTCTGTACCCTTGATTCTTGAGTCTTGTATCAAGCTGTCCCCGTACCTGTTTTACATGACTCACGTACACATCTATGATCCATCGCGTTTTTTCTGGGTTCGTGTTCTTAGCTGTGGTCTGGTTGGAAAGCAATGTTTGTTTCTTCATGTTTCTTCTGTTTTTTCGTCTTGGGGTTGCTTATAGACAGTTGATTTCGAAGCGGGGGGGGGAGACTCTGCCAACTACTTGGACAGGAGGGTATAGGGTTGCATCATGAAGCCTCGAAGTGAAGGAATCGCGCACGTTGGATGGTTGCTCATTTTGGCTGCTGCGTTGCCGGCGTCGTTGTCTGCTCTTTGGCCGTGCTCGGCTACTTGAGGCGCAAGTCGAAGCTTCATGTCAGGGTCTACCTGCATTCGGTGTCACGGAGTCAGAGTAGCTGGTTATAGAGGTGGCGCTCCGTATCTCCTGTGCTCGTCCAGTGAACAGACGGGACCTGATAGAGGGAAGAGGGGTATCTCGACAGAAGCTCACTTCCACGAGCCGGACTTCTACGCGGATCTGACCTGATGCGAGGCGAGGGCACATGCATGTCTGCAACGCGACACAGCTCACTTCGCGGTCACATCTAGCAGCTCACTTCCTGCTTGCACTGCTGGAATCCCGAAACATCTTCGGTGGGGTCTGCAAATCTGTCTTGACAGGTTACGAGGACGACTGCTTCAAAGTCGGCATGTACTATGCGGGCCCTGTTCCTCGGGAGCCAGCAATCTTGCTTTGCTTGGTAGGTGAAGGCTTCTGAGATGCGACTTTTGATCTGCAGCGCCATGGTCCGCACAGGGCTGATCAGCCTTGTTTGTACTTCGTACCCCTTACCTTATGTTGTCGTATTTTGTCGGTGTGGACTCAAACGAGCTTGGTGGAGGGGCGGTGCCCTAGCCGACAAGGAGACGAAACAGAAGAAGAGTTAGAGGAATAAGAAGAACGATAATGAGAAGATCAGAAAGGACTCAACTTGGGCATGTCCAGTTCTGGGGGGCAACTCCCCTCAGCCCCCTAAACGAGAAACAAAGAAAATAGCTCTTTTTGACATTGCTGAGCTTTTGTTTAGGGCCAAACAATTTGAAGCCTGCGGCTGCAATGCACTTGTCTGTCCCTGAGCTCGCAACAAAGGCAAGGCTGCCATCGCTGCAACGAACGGTGCAGCCGGATGCACAGGCATGCCAGGCAGGCCCACGAAGCTCTTTGTGCAATGCTCTGGCATCCTCCTGCAGCAGTCTCTTGGCAGGCCGAGTGCATGATGCAGATGGGTGCCTTGGGCGGCAGGCCGTGTGCGCATGTCAGTGGTCAAAGCGTTCTGCTGCAGGTTGCCAATATTTCACATTCTGGCCGGATGGCGGCTGCCTTCTCACTGGCTGGGGCGCAACGCTAAAGGCCAGCTTTGCTGATAGGAGGTGTCTCTTGACATGAAAAGGGGCTCGACGTGCACCGTCTATCATCATCATCATCTTCATCATCTTCATCGTCTTCATCATCTTCATCTTCATCTTCATCTTCATCTTCATCTTCATCTTCATCTTCATCTTCATCTTCATCTTCATCTTCATCTTCATCTTCATCTGGCAATTTGGGATGTCTTCCTACAAGTCCTAGAAGGAATTTACACTACAACCTGGATCACGAGCCATCAGGCCAACCCTGCACCGATCTGACAGGCGACCCCCCTCCGCTTTGCTAAGACCGTCACGGGGCCAAAGGAATGCCCCTTGGCGCGGCCGGTGGCCAGAAGCTCAGACTTCGCAGATGCAAAGTTTCAAAGTGCACAGAGTGCACTTTGTCACACTTAGCATCTGATTCTTGTTCCCTAGTGCGATGGATGACAAGACCAGCTTTCCTGTGGGCAGCAATTTGACTCTCCGCTCGCCGTCAAGGACCAGTGTAAGAACCACACACGCAGACTATAACGTACTTCTTCCTGCGCAGACTGGATGTCAGTTTCCACAGGCTATGTCTGTCAAAGTCCGGCTGTCAAAGTTGCTTAGTTGCCCTTCCGGAGCCATGAGCGAGACTGGAGTCGTGAAGTTCTTCAACTCTGTGGATAGCTACGGCTTCATCCGCATGAGAGGGCCGCGGGGTGCTGACAAGAGTTCTGACGTCTATGTGCACCGGAATGCCATCGCGGATGGCCAGAGCCTACTGCGCGGGGACAAGGTCAGCTTCGATGCTCCTCAGTCGCAGACCTCTTTGCTCCAGTGATACGCAAGACTGACAGTTCCAGTCGCTCCTGCCTTTTGTTCGGCTTCCTTAGGTGATCGAAGAAGACGGGCGCAAGACAGCACTGCGCGTGACGGGAGGCACTGGAGGCTTTGGGCTGACTCTCGCGAGTAGCGTGGACCGATCGCCCAGAAAAGGCTTGCAGCTCGGACCAAGGCCATCTATTTTGCGGGTTTTGGGTTTAGGGTTTAGCGTTTAGGGTCTAGGGTCTAGGGTTTAGGGTTTAGGGGACCCCATCACTACCCGACCAAAGTCCCGTCCATCGGACCTTCTACACAGATCCTGCTCTGAAATAAATGAGGCCCCTATAGAGAAGTCTCCCTGAACCTTAAACTTGTCAACTGAGGCTGGGCGTGGTGAAGAAGTCCTTCTCCAAGGGCTTCGGATTCATAAAGCAGGACGAGGGCGGCTCGGACCTCTTCTTCCACCAAAACGCCCTGGCCAAAGAAGGCTGGGGGCTTTCATGTGTGACGCTGGGACATTTGCCATGGCGTTGTTGCAGTGCTGTTTTGCTCATGGTGCTGTTGCATGGTGCCCTCGTGAACGAGATTGGTGTCTCACAGCTAGAACTGCTGAAGCTGCCCTAGATGTCTTACAGGCAGCATGATAGTGTGGGTCACCTCTGTGACAGGTGCTGAGATGCCCAGCGTTGGAACTCGGGTGAGCTACGACTGCGTCTGGGACGAGACAAAGGCCTGCCGCAGAGCATCTAACGTGGCGGAGGTGGTGGCGCCAGTGTCAGCACGGCAGGAGGAGCTGGGGACAAGTTCTTGTTGGGTTTCTTGTTCTGAGGTTCTTGCTTGCTTGTCCTCAGGCCGTTTAAGGGCCACTGTACCTCGAATGCCTCTGCATGCCACTGCATGCCCTACATGCTGAGACTGCCTGAGCCCCGAAAATGTGACAGTCGACCCTTACATTTTTCCCAGGTTTCTGACGCTTTTTTGGAGCTGGGGAGCAGGGGTGGGAGGGGGCATCCGACTTTGCTGGTTGGGGGGGGGGGGGGGTGGGGTGGGTGTCCCGCTGATGAGACAAGTTCTGCCATGTGCGGCTCGTAATAGTGTAGAAGTGTAGAAGCTGAATTCAATAGCAGGGTTCCCGAAATAAGGCAGACCACCATGTGAGGAGGAAGCTCCTTGCACCGAAGACGTGAGCGACATTAGTGACGCTGATGAATGGGAAGTTGTGGCGTAGTCCTATCATGGCAAGCCTCCTGGCTGCTTCTCTAGGAATTTCTCCTGAGCTTGCATCATTGAATGCTAAATTGGATGTACTGATCTGTACATGTTCTCAAATGCAATCTCGGCTGTTAGTGCAAAGCCTTGCACAGCCACACCAAGCTGTGCAAGCTGCTTCATGCCCTGCGGAAATCCTTTATAGAGTTGTTGTGAGTAACAGACATGCGCACAAGAAGCATGACGACTTCTGCAGGGTCCGTTTCACACAGCCCGTCGAAACGGCGACATGGCGCCTAGGGGTGTGAGCACGCCCTGTACAGTGTCCAGAACTCGGCGCTCTTCTATCTCGAAATGCCTTTGCTTCTGCTTGATGGCACACTCGGGTCATACGCAGCATCATTGATCATGGTGACACGGGCAGATGAGATGTCTCAGGCTGCAGATCAAGGCCTGACGTTGGAGGACTGGGACCCAAGCGTGGACGCCTCGTCCTAAGAATCTTCGGACTTTCGGAACGTGTGCCGTCGGAGATGACTAGGAGCGATGTGTGTGCTGGCGTGTAGTGCTTGGCTACTTATGTAGTGGACATCAGTGGACTGTGGGCCCTCAGGGCGCGGCACCTGCACCCCCGACGCTGCCGCACGAGCCGGAGTTCCAGGCCGGGCTTGCTTGCTTGCCCAATTTTGCTATTTGGCTGGGTTTTTTTGTTCAATGCATTTCAAGCTCTTGCAGATCGTGGTCGCTGGACAGCTTCCTGGTGTCAACGGAACGCACTGCACGGCCTATCCAGCCTGCGTGGCTGCCGCGGGCCGAGAGCGTCGAGACGAGCTGAGGGCGACGACTTCATTGGTCTTCGTTGTGCCGTCAGTGCACTGAGGTGAAGATGAGCGGTGACTGCTGTCCTAACGCAGCCTCTGAGTTGCGTTTACTTAGTTTACTTGTTGTTGCTTCTTGCACCAAGGCTTTGGTCGTAGGTGTGGCCACCATAGCCACGAGAAGCTTTCCGTCATCAGAGCAGCTGTCTTGCACAGCGAAGGAAGGGGTCGTGCTGGACTGCTGTGGTTCCACGGCAGCTTCACGCTACCTGAAGTAGGCCTGGCAAGGGCCATATTGGGGCTGCGGCTGCTCTGCCAGGCTAAGCTGTGCTGTGTCCAGCATCAGCATGCTCTACTAGGAGTGGCATCAACCAACGTGTAGCCTTAACCTCGCGAGCAGCTTCACATCGTAGGGGCTCTCACAGGTGCCGGCGATGCCTTCCCATACGGGAAGTGGAAGCCTCCACGGTCAAAAGGAGGAGCCAAGGCCCGGAGGCACTTGATGAGAGGCTGTAGGTGGGTCTCTCCCAAATAGAACGGAAACCCCTTAAAAGGGACCCCCCAAAAAAGGGCACCGCTATTTTTCGGAAACCCCCCATGTGGGAAAGACTTAAGCTCTGGCATGCTCTGGGCCATGGTTGTTCAGGTTCTCAGGGCTGTCAGTCGATCGGACCTCCCAGAATGTTTGCTGCCTTCAGCACTGCTTGTGCTTGTGGACAGGACTGGCAAGCCATGGGCTTCTTGCAAAGGTCGGTCCGAGGAACAGCTGGTGGTTTAAGTCGCTTACCTTATGCGCAAAAAGCGCTTCTCGCGATGATGAGGTTCACCAAGACCTTCGAGGCCTCTAAATTCACATCAGAGGGGCATGCTCGGTATGAACATCATTTTTTTGCTTTTGGGAGATCACGGAATGGACCTCAAAATCAGCAGTTCCGGAAGCTCCAACTCCTGACCAAGAGCTGGCGCTGGGATTCAAGTAAAACCAACCAATCTCAAGCTCGCTGAAGTTGTCCTTGAGACCTATGGACCTATGACTCTATGACACACAATCCCAGAGTCGGCCTTCTGTACTCTTGTGACGGAACGAATGTAATCGTTTAATTTGTGCTGCATGCAGTGTCGGGCAAAGGATCCTGGGTGGCATTTTCTCTTGGCTGCCCTCTGCTTTTCCTTTGACTGACCTGCCGCCTCGAGCAACGAATTGGCGCACAGGCTGGGTACAATGGGCATCGTGGGCTCAATTGGGTGGGGCAAATGCACTTCGGAGTAAAGATGGAGGAACTTATTCTATTTCTATACAGAGATATACATATATATATATACATAATGGAATAGAAGAGGATGGAATAGAAGAGGATGGGAAAGAATAGGATGGGAAAGAATAGGATGGAACATAGAGAAATATACCTACATATATATATATAGGTTTTATATGTATATATATATGTATATATGTATATATGTATATATGTATATATGTATATATGTATATATGTATATATGTATATATGTATATATGTATATACGTATATATATATATATAATGTGTATATATATATATATATGTGTATATATGTATAGAGGAATATATATATATATGTATTTATTTATATATTTATATATTTATACATATACAAGTAACCTTGTTCCACCCACGGCCCGGCTATGTCCGGATCAGACAGTTTTGGTCGTTGCAGTGTTCAGTGCGAGTCCCGGAAGACCCACTAAGAGGAGCGCGCGCGCGAGAAATGTGTGCGGAAGGGAGGATATCTGTGTGGAAGTGTCGAAGGCTGGAAGTACCATATTCTAGGCAGCGCCCTCCACTGCGTCGCTTGTGCGGCATACCATGCCACCGGCATGCGGCCAGCACGGGCATCAAGAGGATTCGTGTTGGCACTTCGAGCCCAGAAGCGGCGCCGTGCGCGGAAGCTGCCAAAAGAATCCCGAGAGGCTCAGGGGATGCAGTTCCCAAAGAGCAAAGACATGCCAAGCCCGCCTTATGAATCATATTAGTATGAGTAAACTTATCAAGTTTATTGACTGATAGGGGTATTCGTAGTAATTCTTAATATTAACATTCCCATAACATTCTCCATCCCTTCGTGATTCCGATGTGGCAAGGTGCGCGAGTTTCTCTGCCAGAATCGCCAGTCACAGCCTTGTCAAGCGCGACATGTTGATGACGGTGACATGCGGTGATTCCCTGACGGCGTTGCTCAGGCTCATTCCGCAAGTGCCTGCAGAGTCCAAGCTGAAGATCTTCCGCTTGCTGCGAGTGCGGCCCTCACTGCCTTCTCCTACTCAGTGATTCTCCATCAAGTTTAAATTCGACGCCTTGGTACAAGATATGACGAGTGTATGCAAGGACTATGCCACTGAAGCCTGGGCTGACCTCAGTTGCAGACTCCAGGCTATCGCATGCAGTGCATCATGCAGCAGTGAATCGAAGTTCTGTGGAAGTTGTGCGGAGATTCCCTGAATTGGCCCCTCCCTGCCAGGATACAGGTTTTGGACCACAGCTCCTGCAAAAGATGGCGGAGCTGTCGTGGCCTTAGGTTGTGATTCTGGAGCGAAGTTGTGCTCGAAAATGCAAGAACATCAAGAATAGTCAGTCGGAGATGCACGGGAACAATCCCACGTGTGGTTTGTCCAGACGCGAGGAGAAGGGGGTGCGTTGTCAGGAAATCATATGCTAGTCTCAAATATATCCTTAAGACCATCTGAGTGATCCCAAAAGCAAGCTTCCACAAGGAAGCAATGCTGAGATGACCTGGATGAGACAAATGCAGCAAGTTTTTTGCGTTGCCAGAACATACCATTGTGGCACTTGAGAGGGTTTCCTCAAACACGTCTGCCATACCCAGAAGCATGACATCTACTGAACTGAACCTAGGCCCTTGCTCGTACCCTTCCTGCAGCCGCAGAGCCTTGCTATTCCCGTCAGCGTGAAGGCCGCTTTGTCATCCAGCTGTGATGATCTCATCGCTGACCCAGTTTCACTGGCTGCGCTTTTGAAAAGGCACGAGTCCTGAAAATGGCGGCGCTCTACGTTGGCGCCTCAGGGTTCAACTGGTGCAAGTTTGTTGGGTCGAACAGAGACGACCGTCCTCAATGCAGGATCTGCCCTTAGCAATGCGTCTGCTCGACGAAGAGCTCTTGTCGCGCGCTCGACAGAGTCCGCTGCCCAGAGCGTCACCATCACTCCAAGCCTTAAAGTCTTTAGGTGCTTGCGTTTGCCTTATCATAGAAAAGGGCCCCCAACAGGGAAAGGAGGTGAAGGCATGTGCGTGCGCACGCCAGAAAGTTTAGAGTTGGCTTTGCGTAGCTCCGAATAATAGTAGTCTCGTAGCAGAACTAGGAAAACGGCCAAAGTAGTTTTGAAGGTGTTGGCTTGGAAAGCAACGAACCATGCAAAACTAAATGAGCCGGAGTCAAGAAGACCAATTCTAAATTCTAAATTTTTAGGCCAACGCTACAGCTAGTAGACACCAATGCAGAACTAGCAGACACTAATGCTAAATCTAAGATGGCTTGATCGTCAAACCTTAAATTGACAGCCAAACTATTTTTGGACCAAGTTTGCATGCGACAGGTCATTTGTAATTTTAACGCTACGCGACCCGCCTCGGCCCGGCCCAGCGCATCCGCGTGAGCATGGTGATTCCGCAGCGCCCAAGTCGCTGGACCCCAAGCAATAAGGGTTGGGTTTAGGGTTTAGGGTTCCGGGTTTATGGTTTATGGTTTATGGTTTAGTTTAGGATTGAGGGCTTAGGGCTCAAGGTTCACGCTTTGGGGTTTAGGGTTTTTTTGGGAGTGGGTTCAAGACGGTTTCAGGGGGGCGTAGGGGGGTGGGGGGGGAAGGGGGGCAGGGGAAGGGGGGGGGGGGGGGGGAGGGGGGGGGGGAGGGGGGTGGTGAGTTCGGGGGGGGGGGGTGGTGGGGGGGTGGGGGGGGTGGGGGGGGGTGGGGGGGGGGTGGGGGGGGGGGGGGGGGGGGGGGTGGGGAGGGGGTGGTGGGGGGGGGGTGGGGGGAGAGGGGGGGGAGGTGGGGGCGGCAAAAGAAAAAAGGGATGGGCGCCTGCTGGGAGGGGCTTCAACTGCCTCTGGTCCTGGCGAACCGTCCGCTTGCGGACCCCCGGTTTCCTAGCGGGGGTACCCATTTGAGGCAAAAAAGGGGTCCGAAAAGTGGCTTGGGGGTGCCTGTTCTGACAACCTATACACCTCCGGCCCGAGGCCTCGGCGGATTAGAATGTGGTCTTGAATGGATCAACCAAGGGTTTTTAGGGTTTAGGGTTTAGGGTTTAGGGTTTAGGCAGAGCTCAGCTCAGAGATCGCAAGCTTGTGAAGATGCCACCAAGGCCTGGCAGCGTCCCTGCCTTGGCTTTTTCGCGCGCATTCTGGTGAGCTGCGGCATACATATATGTAGACATTTATCTTGTGTACTATATATATATATATATATGGAAATAGGAGTACATATAGAGTTAGCTCTCAGTAAATACAGTGCATATACATATATGTATATATACATATACAAACGTTCATGGGCGCCCCCCCCACCGACCTACCAACCGTAAATGCCGTTTAAAACCCTTGTGCTCCATGCATGGGATTGTGCGGTGCCGCATCTCTCTTTGATTTTCCTGGCTATCGGGTCATTGTAGTGTGCACATTGCACGACTGCTCGTACAACCTGGCAGCACCGACAGCACCAACACCCAACAACCAAAAACTAACTTTGCCAAAGCAATGGGGGGATCAAGAAAAGAGTTTTGTGATTTTGCCCAGTAAACGATGGTTTCCGCGAGAAATACCGTCTGCTTCCCAGCAAAAATTGGTTTTCTGAGAGCGGGTCGAGAAAAGATGGTTCTCTCACCCAAAACTATCTGTATTCCAGTAAAACAGATGCATTTTACATCCACTAACAATGTGTTGATTCTCCAAAGTTCCCATGTAAGTATGTGAATTGGTTTTGATGAGCATAGGTAGAGGTCAGGTCAATAAGTATTCTGCATGAGATTATAATCCTTTGACGGCCGGGAATCTTGGAATCTCTAATACAGGACAACTTCTGTTGTTTGCAGCTCTCGCTCGGAGATTTAAGGTGGATATTTGAATTTGCGCATTCAGCAGGGAAGGAATGGCTGCCTCGGTATGAAATGTACATCAATGACCCCATTAAGTTCGTGTGCTGGATATCTGAAGCCCAAGGGCTATGAGAAGATGCTTTCCGAGTCCTTCCTGCGCAAGTAGTGGTGAGTGTGCCCGTGACGGAAAATCT